TCGATTGCCGATTAGTACTTACAAAAAGTAATAACTTGGAACATTTAATATATAGCATTTACTATGTCTTCTGATAATCTGATATACTTTGTGAGAAAAGAAATATGCCTTTTTGTTTGTCTTTTTAAATTAGTTTCTAAAAGCAGATCAGTTTTAGTTTTTTTCATGAGTAACTTCTCTGGGTTTTCTGTTATATATATTTTCCTAGCTCATGTTTCTTTCCCTCTTGTCTTGATGGCTTTATTCTATTACTTATTTGAATTATGTGGGACAGTACTTTGGGGGATGCCCTTTGTAATTTGCAATGGCTTTTATGTATATCACTGTGACTAACTGCATAATGATTTTAAAGAAAATATTACTAGTTTCAAATATTTCTATACATTTTTATGTTTAATTAAAACTAAAAGTAGTAAGTTATCTTCTACTAGCATATTATCTTCCTCTTTTTCTTGATCTTCTGAAGTTTACTTTTTACATCATGATGAAGACTTTTGGAATACCGATGGATTTTCATTCTTTTAATGTAATTTTAATTTTTTTTTACAATTCTTATTTTCAGTCATTCTCTTATTTTATCTGAAGGTGTCTTCTGATTTATTCTCTTCCTCTTTTTCTGCTAATATTCTCAAGCTTATCCTGTTCAGTGTATCAATGTATTTTTATTCTTTAAAATAATTTTTTAATATTTTTTTACAATTCTTTCTTGTTTCCAGTCATTTTCTTACAATTTCGTCTGAACATTGTCTCTCTTTAAAGAGTTTTTCTCTCTCTGTTTTATGAAAATCAATGATTTCTTGCATGCCTTTTTGAATACTAATTTTTAAAAAATATTTCTTTCTGGTTTCTATAGCAAATCATTTTCAGAAACAAAGTCCTTTCATTATTTTTAAATAATGCATGTTAAAATCTTTTGAATGTTAATGTGTATTATCAATTAATGGAATAAAATGATTGTAGATTAATAGATTTTATTTTATCTGGCTACCGAACCAGTCAGTTTCCTTAATTTGAGAGATTTAGCATTTATCAACCACTGTCTTTTAATATTGACTTTCCCTTATTCTCTCTATTGTCTTCATTTAAAATTCTAATATGATATATGTAAACCTTCTTATTCTATCTTTCATGTCGGGAAATTTCTTTAATATTTTTCATACCTTTGTGTTTCTGTGCATTCTGGGGAGTTTTTTCATATCTATCAGTTCACTGCCTTTTTCGTTAGCTGTGTCAAACCCTGTCCATTTATATTATAATTTAATTATTATAATTTTTATTTCTAAGTGTTGTATTTTATTCTTTTCAGAATCTGCTTTTTGATAGTTTCTTTTCCTTTGATGATACTTTAAAATTTCATTTATTTCTTTAAACATACAAAACATTTATTTTGTGTTCTATGCTTAGATAATTTTTATCTACAATCTGAAGATCTGATTCTGATACGGTGTCTAACTCGCAATAATAGCAACTTGTTTCCTTGTGTTTAATTTTTTAATTATATTTGCTGAGATTTTATCTATGGAAATCATTTGCTTCTTCCAGACAGCTGGGCACATCCATTCCTGTACCAGTTTAAAATGAATTATCTTTCTTGACATTTTTGAATAATGAAGATAATGTTAATGCCAGTCCCCAAATCTGCACGAGGGCCAGATCATCATAATTTCCTACCTCCTTTTTTGAGCTATGCTCTGTTGAATAGTATTTCTGCTTTGGAATAAATTAATGAGTATTTTGTTTATTTATTTTTATTTAGCAAGAGAAAATGACCAAATTTAAAGCGTGTTTGAGTATGTGTATGTGTATGGGAACTCTGCATACTTGAGAGTCAGAGACCCCACATGCAAGAGAGGTGCAGAGTCAGAAAGGGAATTGAAGTATATAAGACATCCTGAACTAGGGAGGAGGTAATGCACCTTGAGGGACTTCAAAAGCCATTGAAGGATGAGAAGAAGAGCAGATGTTTAGTAAGTTTGCCCTAGCATATAGGTGCGTCAAGAAAATTTATCCCTGATAACCTTTTTTTATGGATAAGGTCTCTAATTCAAATACGAGGCATAAGGGTGAAGTCTCTCCTGAGCCTGTGGCTAAACTTGCTCTTAGCACCAAATAATCTGCATACCACAGAGACATATCTTTGTGGCTCTTCCACAAAATACCACGTGCGGGCGCGCACATACAATGCGATTGAAACTTCATGGCCCCTTTTTCTGAAACTTTCATTCGAGAAGTTGGATTGGTAGATTATTCTATATTTCATTAAACCAATCTCAGTCTTGAGAAAGATAGTGGGGATTTTAGCCAAATAATTTTGAGAAGCATCAGTTTGAGACACAAGTTTTTTGCCTCATCGTAAAACTTCTCAGGGTATCTTATATGCATATACGACTTTTGATACTTAGTAGTTGTGTACGGTAAGCAGAAATTTTTTTGTTCCACTCTGCTCTCTTTTTTGGGATGTGGTTATAAATATGGAGCATCTGATGGAACCAAGAGAACATACTTAGGCGAATAAAGTCTGCTTCCTGCCACCCTTGGCTTTTGCTTATGCTTCTCATTGACTTTCTCCTTACTCTGCTCTATGACTTTGTGTGTGTGTCTATACATAAGTCTGTGTTTAAATCTGTCTTGTATTTAAATTCCATGCAGGAAGACGTATCTGGTAATCTTATCCCAAAATTAAGACATTATATTTGGGTAGAATTCTTGTATGAGTCTATCTCATAGACCAGTGGTCAGCAAACTGTGGCTAGAGAGCCACATGTGGCTCTTTGGCCCTTTGAGTGTGGCTCTTCCACAAAATACCACGTGCGGGCGCGCACATACAGTGCGATTGAAACTTAGTGGCCCCTGTGCAGAAATTGGTTTCGGCTCTCAAAAGAAATTTCAGTCGTTGTACTGTTGATATTTGGCTCTGTTGACTAACGAGCTTGCTGACCACTGTCATATAGATCTTGATTATTTGTCTTTTGATCAGTTGGACAAGGTACCTAGTTATGTCCAAAGTGGTAGGTTAATAGAACTTTGGGGGGTGGTAGGGAGGTGCTTCCTTTTTATTTTCTGTCTTGGCCAGTTGAATGTAAAGTTCCTGAGACCATGTATATCTTATTTATTGTTGTTTTCCCAATATCTTACCATAGGAATTGATACATATTATGTGTTAAATCAGTATATTTTGAGCTTTTTAGACTGGCAAGCCCCTGTGAACATCCAAGAGTAGGACAGTATATCTATTAGTTAAATTGCATGGCTTGTCCATCATACATGGGTTACTTTTTTCATCTTATTGTAGCCTACAGTATCTTTGAAATAAAAATTGGCTGTGTCAAACTTTAATTGCCAAAGTGAAAATTAACTTCTTTTAAATATGCTGTTTATCTGCCTTAAAAAAGTCACTTCCTCCTAAGATTCTTTTTATATCATAGTCTTGTTGAAATTGATTTTTCTCACATTCTCATTCCATTCTTTGTGTTCCCATACCACTTTGTACATTCATCTTTCAGCACATGCCTCACAGTATTGTTGCATTTTTTGTCTTTCCAGCCAGACTTTGAGTTCACTGAGGGTAGAGATGCTGAATGGAAGCGTAAGTGATATGTGTGTGCAGTTAAGATCTTATCAAGCATTTAAAATAGCTGTTTCCTGGAGCGGGAAGGAGAGAATAGTAGAGAAGCAATCTGAGCATCTAGAAGATATTTTGGCGTTTTTTAGGTGTAGGCTAGTGACAGAACAGTTGGGAATGAAATTCAGCTATGATTAAGACACTTTGTTTGACACTAGGACATATACTATCTTATTGGGTTAATCTGACCCTCACAGTGTGCTGTGAGACAGCTGTGATCTCACTTTACACTTTACTAAGGCCACTAAGTGGTTTGTCCATTGTCACATTCTTCTACTAAATAGTAACGTGCTTATACTATGTTGAATGAGGGAGGAACTGGGTCTGACACCAGTTCACGCTGATGCCCCGCTGTGCAGCCCAGCCTACCATACCACATTGTGCTGTGATGGTGTGTTCTGGGTATGTTTTCCTCTTTATCTTTTAGGGGAATTCTGTGCATAAGAGCATGTTTCTATTTTGAAACAGAAACCAGTGAGAAAGTATGATTTGTTAATAAAAATTGACTTTTCACCAAAGTTAGAATGTTTCTTTGAACTGACATATAAATTTTGATATCAGTTGTCTTAAATATCTTTTTCACCCTAATTCAAATGGCATTATAACCAAATGAAATAGTATGAATCTCCTTTTGATTCTGTCACATTTCTTCATGATGCCTATAGCTGCTTAATTTGGCTTATTTGAAAGTAGTTGTCATTTATAATCAGGTTTCATAGAAATTATGTTTATTTGAGAACTTTTATTAAAGATCAACTTCTTATATAAGCTTCCTTTGAGTTGCTGGTAGGTAAAAATGCCTTCTATGACATTTATATTTCTTAATAAATGTGTAGTGGGTGATACCTAAGTAGATAAATGTGGTAGGAGCTATAATAGTTTGCTCCCTTTATCATCTCACATAAGGAAAGTTCCTAAATACAAAGCTGGAGCTGAAATTACAGTTGTGGTCAGTCATTAGGAGCTGCAGGGGGTTAAATGACATCTCATTTAAAGTATGTTAGTACAGTTTTTTCAGTTGATTCAACAGTTGTTTTTCCTAGCACTTACTGTGTTGGGCAGTCTTTTACTCACTGGAGATTCAGGAGTGAGCTGTGCTGTTAAAATTAATGTGAGAGAAAGCAAGTTCTATCTTAGATTATTGATCTTTAAAATATTGTTGGCTATTATTTGCAACCAATCTCACATCTACTCCAGACCCCTATCAAGAAGAGACAGTGGATTATACTTCACATCAGGAAAGTAATTGTCATAATTTGAGCCACCTTCTCACAAAATTAATTTAAAATACTTCTAAACTCAGAGTTTTAGTTTATAAGTTAATACTTATGGAATCTTTGTTGCTTGAAAAGTAAAGATACCATTTCTTTTTCCTCAGAAACGTGCTAAGGGACAAGTGTTGTTTGACAAAGTGTGTGAACATCTCAACCTCTTGGAGAAAGACTACTTTGGACTTTCGTTTCAGGAAAGCCCTGAGCAGAAAGTAAGTGAAATTTCAAGTTTAATTACATATCATCTAGAAAATTACTGTAATTTTTTTTATTAGTACAAAGTTTAGCTTTAAAACAGAATATGTTTTTATTATGACATTTTATGTTCATCGTGTAAATATTGAAAACGTGTGTAGGAAGAATCACCTATAACTTTCTGCCATTGTGTGTCTGTTTTTTTCACTCACATTATAAGCAGACATAATTGGATGCTTTATCCTATGTTAATTGCTAGAAACAGAAATAATTGATTTAAAAACGTTTATATTGAATTTTGAGTTCTTGAACTTACCTATATGCTAGGAATTAAGCATGCCTGAAAAGAAGGAAGGAGGCTATTAGAAGGAATGTCAAGAGTGCCCACATGTACTTGTCTATAGGTTCCAGAGAGTATTTGCTTTGCAGAACAGACCTTGGCAGCTATGTGGGGTGAAGGTGTTTCTTGCCCTATTGTTGGGTTATTGGGGGGGGGGGAAGGAGATGGGGTCCAGCCTGGCTTGGGTAGTTATATTTGGCCAGCCAGGACCCTATGTTGGTGTCTGCCTGACATCAGGAATGTGTAGAGATTGTTTCTACTCCAGGAATTTCCCAAGACACTAAGTAGGAGCATAAGAGTTCTATAATGACTAAAGCTAATTCAAGGAACTTCAGGGCTTTCAGTTACATAGGTAAATTAAAGAGAGAAAAATTCACAGACTTAACCTGTAAACTTTTGTCTTAGTTCCGCCTATTCTAACAAAGCACTTGATAGCTTATAAAGAACAGACATGTATATCTCATAGCTCAGTAGGCTGGGAAGTTTAAGATCAATGTGCTCACAGATTTGGTGTCTGATGAGGGCCCACTTTCTGGTTCATACAGTGCCTTCTTGTTGTGTCTTCAGATGGTGAACGGGTCAGGGTGTTCTCTGAAGCCTTCTTTATATAATCCCATTCATGAGGATTCTACCTTCATGATCTGTCAACCCCAAAGACCCCACCTCCAAATTACTCTCTCATTGAGGATTAGGTTTCAGTATATGAATTTGCGGGTGAGGGGGGGAGGGGGGCTCAAACATTCAGCCTCTACCACTTTCCTCATTGTTAAGACAGGACTTTATCTTTTCTATGTCACTTTCTCAGTCTTAGGACTTAAGTCTGATGAAGCTAGTGGGTGTAGAAGAGTAAAGGAAGGTTTGGTCCAAGGTTGTGCCCTAAAGTGAAGTCTTTTTAAGTCTGTTAGATGGTGGCTCTGGACAGACACACTGTGAACATTCTGACCGAGGATTCTCAGAGCACTTGATCACAGTGAAAGGAGTTCCTTTCTAATCTGGAACATTCACATCACTGTCAACAAAACAGAACAGTTAGGAGATGAATATAGGCTAAAACATTTATTTACCACATGCTATCATTGTTTGATTTTATATGTCCTGGTAATGAAATTCAGGATACAAGGACGATAATTAATATATGCATTACATTTTCTCAACTTGTTTAGTTTTAAATCCTTCATACTAATTTTTGGCTTAATTACATATTTAAAGTAAAAATAATTAAATTGCATGCCTGCTTGTACGTGGGTGTTCTTATTAGAACTCTATTTATAATAGTTTTCTCAGAAGAGAAGTAATAACATATTAGGCATTTGACTAAATAAACTAGGTGTTCTTTTTAGACTTTACATTATAAGGTGGTTTTGATAATGTTTCCTTCTTTTGGTTCTCAAAGCTGCAAAAGTAAGTGTGATAGGAATTTGGCCATCATTGTCCACTCTTTTGAAGCAGGCCCTCACCAAATACTGAATCTGCCACCACCAAGAGGGGCAGACTACTAAAAGCAAGTCAGTGGATTGCTATTGACAGTCCCATAGAGATTGTAGATTTTACAATTGTGATGGCAAAATAATATATTTTGATGTTTTTCTCTAATTGCCACCTGCAACCTGGGTATGATAGCGGAGAAATGAACTATTGAAGGGGATCCCACCTGGCTGGTATGGCTCAGTGGTTGAGCATCGACCCATGAGCCGATAGCTCCTGGATTTGATTCCCAGTTAGGGCACATGTCTGGACGGACACACTGAGAACATTCAAGTGGAGCCGCCGGGATCCGCCTCTGTGCTGTGCACACAGCACCAAGTCCCTGCCCACCTGCACAGCCTGCTGCACACATAGACCCCTGGTGATGGATTATTAAGGTGTGAGGGCATCATGGCATGAAGGCGTGAGGACCACAAAGGCTTTTATTAATGTAAATAACCTCTTTGTTTTTATAACTTTTGTATTGTATAATCTTTTTGTTGTTGCTGCTTTTTTTTTTTTTTTTTTATATCCTCACCTGAGAATACATACCTCTTCCGTTGATTTTTAGAGATAGTGGAAGGGAGGGATGGTGAGGGAAGGAGGGAAGGAAAAAAAAAAAAAAGAGAGAGAGGAACATTGATTCGAGAGAGACATCCATTTGTTGCCTTCCTTACACGTCCCAACTTGGGTAGACATCTAGGCAAAAGTACTCTTATTTTTCAAATATAGATTTGTATTGCATCCTATTTTTCCTCAGAAAATTATTACAATTGTAACAACTCAGCTCAGTCCAATTTTCTTTGAAACTCATGCTGTTTCAACAATAGGATACCATACAATACAGAAATTTAAAATGCTTTTTTCCTCATACTGAATAATATTTGTATTTATAGAAACTTCAGTCATCATTTCACATTTTGTGAAGTAAAGGTAAGGGTAATTTGTGTGAAAAGTTTCCATGGAGAGAAAAATCTTTCTTTTGATTTAGTATAGTACTATGTTGGGTCTTTCATGGTTGAGACCTTGAGTTGGAAGCCTTTCGATTTACTCTGAGTATAAAAATCTATAATTATTTGTGTTAGAATTTTTTCATGTCTTTTGAGAACTCTTGTGTAAACTTTACTATGGAAAATGTCATTAAAAATATGTGGAATCAAGCACTTTGTTACTGCTCTTTTATATATGAAATTCCAAGTCCATGAAGTTCTTGTATTCATTTCTACATAGAACCATCAATAAGAAATTTGGACTTTCTTTAAAGGGAAAAATATTAACTTAAAATTTTATGTTAATTAACTTTGGCATCTGGCCCTGGATTCTGATGTCATTTCACTTCAAGCCATATTGAAAGAGGAGTATATTAGAAGTGTAGTTGATATCCACAGCTAACTTTATGAAAATTGATTAAAGTGTTTGCCTGATAGCCAGACAATTTCTCCCAAAAAACTAGAACTAAAATCTCAAATATTAACCTTTTTCTTTGTCAGATATAAACTATTTAGTAAAATTCTTTATTTAATCCAGATGCATAGTGAATGATTTACTGTAATATAGAAAGCCTTTAACCACCAGCATTGTGGTAGTGTTCTCGAAGACCTCATGTAGGCAAAGGTCTAATAAAGGGGATCTGCTTTGGTGCTATAACTTCTTAAGGGGAAATGCAAAGTTACTCTTACACTTTTAACATTTGGTATTACAGTGTGAGTTGGGTTAAATTTAATTTTTCTCACCTGGCCAAATGGACAAGCCTCAAATGTGAGTGAGGAAGACAGGGCTAGGCATTTTGAAAACTTTTAACTTGAGGATCTCAGCATCCAGTCTGAAGGGGAATTAGAGGAGAGAGAGTTTCTTGAGTTGTTATTTAGGTCTAGTGTGGTGAGTGGCCCTGGACAGGCAGCTGCACACTCACACTGCTAATGGGACTCTGATAGGGAGGAGTTCAAAGAAACACTTAGATGTGGGAACACAGAAGCAGTGACTGCAGGAAGCTGTCAACAGTTAGACTATATAGCCAGTAAAGGCTGGGCATCTACCTGACAAAACAGGTAAAGCTATTTTCTCCCTACTTCCTGCTCCACTCAACCCGCCCTCCTTCTTCCTCCCGCCCCCCAGGCCTTCAGGACACTATTCTCTAATATCCATGGGCTATATATGCATATAAGTTGTTCAGTTAATCCCCAGTTCTGTTCGTCTGTTGGAAATACAAAATTATGTGAAGAAGGGACATATACCAAAATACGATGTCGATTTAATTTTATCATTGCAGAAAGAACTTATCTGTTAAGGACATTGGGTAGTCTTGAGGAAAAGAACTATTCTATGAGGTAGATATTATGATCCTTATCTTGCTCTTGAAGAAATTGAAGCTTAAAGAATCCAAAGAATAAGCACAAGTTCACATAAGAATTGGTGGGAAGCCAGATTTGACTCCATGTATTTCTGATTCCAAAGTTGATAAATGTGGCAGCCAAATCTTTAAAAAATGAGAATGATGCATCATAATCTATAATGATGTGTGTGCATTTATGTCATTCACTTTTTCCACCTTTTTGTGCCTGCTTCTTGATCTACCCAGCCTCCTCCAAATGTGTCAAAACCAAGAAGTTTATTATTTGTTTGTTAGAGTTCTGTGTCTGTTAAATAGACTTGTATTTCTTTCAGAAGTCATGTTAAGTTATTTTTGTGTTTTTACTTTGAGTTTTGTTCTTAGGCCATAAACTTATATCCTACTCATGATCTAAGTATTGATTGGATTTTATTATTTAAATAAAAATAAATTCAATGAAATAATAGAATCTGTGGTCTTTTAAAATGACCACAGCATTGGGGGATAGGAAGCAAGCACCAGGCAGATGTTAACCAACAGGTATTAATTTGGTACCTACTGGTTACTTAAAACTGTGTTATGGAGGATACAGGTAATGTGGTCTGTCCTGACCCTGGCTAAGCTGTACTGGGGAGGAAGAAGACCTTCTCACTCGTTCGTGGGAATGGAGCTTACAGTGGGGAAGTGAATGTGCTTAGCAAAGGGGACCCCTGTTCAGCAAAGGGATAGGCCAGTGGTCGGCAAACTTATTAGTCAACAGAGCCAAATATCAACAGCACAAAGATTGAAATTTCTTTTGAGAGCCAAATGTTTAAACTTAAAAAACTTCTTCTAATGTCATTTCTTCAAAATAGATTTGCCCAGGCCATGGTATTTTGTGGAAGAGCCACACTCAAGGGGCCAAAGAGCCGCATGCGGCTTGAGAGCTGCAGTTTGCCGACCATGGTGATAGGTAAATGAATGAAAGGAGTCATTTCTGCTGCTCCTACTTGATCATGTATGGTAAACTCTGCCCACTTAGTTTTTGGATAGGGGTCTTAATAATGTGGCTGGCAATGTTGTGGAAGGAGGTCTGAGAATGACACGGAGTCTGAATTTGGCTGGCTGGTCCATAGAAACTTGTCACTCATGGTCTAGTCTACAGACCTCTATTGACTCCATGCTGTGCAGAAGCTCTCAGGTAATTCATACAAGGGGTTGGTGCTTCTGGTGAGAAGGGAAGTTGTCAAATGGCTGGGACAACAAGTTATTCTGGGGGTCACAGAAGATGATGTTACGTCTGTCATCTTCCTCCTCGAACAGGGAGGTTTTTTTTTTTTTTTTCCTTTTCTGTAGCAAAACATCTAGATCATCTGTCATAATGAAGCTGGAGATTTAGAAGGGGCTGTGTAGGACTTTAAGTATGATAGTTTCCCCTCCACTCTCTTTCTCTGCGTTAATGATCTAAAGGATTTTTTTTTTTTAGCCCTAGGTGACTCTGGTTCAGTTTTTTTTGTTTGTTTGTTTGTTTTTTGTTTTTTGCTGTAGTTGTTACTTCTTTGGATGAAATGCCCCAACACATTTGATCCTTCTTTGCCCGAGCTTCCCCCAGTCTCTCCTCTGTCTGGGCTAGAGACTGAATGATGTGTATTTCTCATTTTTGTTCACTCATCATAGCCAGCCATTTGTGAGCCAGCTGTTGTTGGGACAGCAGCTGCAGGCCAAGGAAACTGAATGCCAGGCTTTTTCCTAAGAGGAGAATTAGAGCTTTCCTTAACGTCGCACTGGAGGTACCATTAGAGGGTTCCACTGGCCCTTCTCGTCATTGGGCCGCGCAGCTGGGACACCAGTCATATGAAACTAGACCAAGCTCTGGTAATTGTTTTTTTGAGAGGTTTGAATATAACCAGTGTTAGGCAGAGCCATGCACACCTTGGGCCCTTGCTTCCCTAAGCGTAAGTGTAGTGAAACCCACAGGGTCTGTGCAGCTTTGCTTTCAAAGCATCATGTTATTACTACTTCCGTATTTTGTAATTTAATGTCTGTTGTACTAATTCAATATTTGTTGAGACATTAGACTATTATTTTCTACATTATAAACATTTTAATTGCTTTATGTGTCTGAATAAAATCCTGTATAAATACAGGTGTCATTTGCGATACTTATAGAATGAATGAAACTTATCATACGTCCAACTAGAGGCCTGGCGCACAGAATTCGTGCATTGGGGGGGGGGTGTCCCTCAGCCCAGCCTGCACCCTCCAATCTGGATCCCTCAAAGGATGTCTGACTGCCCATGTAGAGCCAATCCCGGTAGGATCAGGCCTAAACGGACAATTGAAACATCCTCTCATAATCCAGGACTGCTGGCTCCCAACTGCTCACCTGCCTGCCTTCCTGGTTGCCCCAACTACTTCTACCTGCCAACCTGATCACCCCCTAACCACTACCCTGCCAACCTGATTGATGCCTAACTGCTCCCTGCCAGCCTGTTTGCCCCTAATTGCCCTCCCCTGCAGGCCTGGTCCCCCCCAACTGCCTTCCCTGCAAGCCCAGAAACTTCCAACTTTACTCCTCTGCTGGCCTTTGTCACCCCTAACTGCCCTCCCCTGCAGGCTTGATCACCCCAACTGCCCTCCCTTTCAGGCCTGGTCCCTCCTAACTGCCCTCCCCTGCTGGCCATCTTGTGGTGGCCATCTTGTGTCCACATAGGCGCAGCCATCTTCTGTGTTGGAGTGATGGTCAACTTGCATATTACTCTTTTGTTAAAGAGGATTATTTCAATCCATTTACTCTATCTCAAAAAATGTACTTATTCTCCTGTGTTAATGAAGATAGAGTAAGGTGAACTTTAATAATGACTTGTGGATAGGTGGAAGAAGAATAAAAATAAAAATGCATAAACATTTTTTAAAATGGATCTTTTGCTTATTGCTTTTCAAATATTTAATGTCTTTAGGTTGAACTCAGTAGTTCAAGTTTGGTCTTTTCAGCTTTAAGATGTTATAATGGTTTCCTAGAATCTTTTTATGTTAACTTTCTCAAAGGGAAGTAGTAAGTGGAAAGAGAAACAGTTTTTTGTGATTGTGACTCCCACTTGGAATGAAGTTTAAACAGGATGTTACACGAAGACCAGGAAGAAGAATTTCTGCTTCAGTCTGACAGTATTCTCCATAGCATTACAAAGTTTAAAGAGGAGGGGGAATTGGCTTTAGGAGTTGAGATAATTGTGTTTTATCGCGGTATATATACTCTTAACTAATAGTTCCCAATTCATATTGTATCCTTTATGAGCTGGAGCCAGTTGTTGAGCTCTCATTTCAGTGTCCACAGGGGCTATTTCTGACAGTTTATAGACTAAAAATTTTGTGTGTGTCCAACCACTGTACTGTACACTGGAAAGTAAAGCAAAATAATATTTAATGTAAACTCTAATTTATAAATAAGAGAAAAAGACTGTATGAAGATATATTATCTCATCATTAGGATAGGTGTTTGATTTCATATTTCACAAAATGAAGCCCAAGAGACTCACCTTAAAACTGTTGTAATATTTTATTTATAACATATTCAAATACAAGTTAATACTTACCCCAGTGGAATGCTAGTAGGTGGAAGCTACTTCTAATAGTACTTTATTAAAATACCAGAATCCTGGTGCTCGAAAATTCATTTACTGGGTATGGGGGAGAGGGTGTCTCTCAGCCTGACCTGTGCCCTCTCCCAGTCTGGGAGTCCTCAGGGATGTCCTCAGGAACTGTAAATGGTTCCATTTTGTACTCTGGGAAATTTCTTATGGTTAATTAGCCTCTTTTTTCCTCTCCTGCAGAACTGGCTAGATCCTGCAAAACAAATAAAGAGACAACTAAGAAGTGAGTATTCAAATAATCAGACTTTGAAGTTAATCTTTTTTAAAAAAATTTATGGACTAGAATAATAAGATAGTCATAGAATGACCAGCTCTATTTTGCATTTGTGTCTTATGGGAAGTGAAGGGTACTAACGACATTTTTCTGGAATCATGATTACTTTATATAGAGCTTAGGGACCTGTACTGTCTAGAGGTTCTAGAGTCATAGTCCTCAGTCTCACAGTATTACCACTTTGAAGCATAGCTGACTTTTTTCTCTGTAGAAAAGAATGAGAAGCTGCTTTTCTGTAACGTTTATTATCTACGTAAATTTTACCCCAGGTAAATTTATTACTTTATCCACTTCATCTTGAAAGTTTGTAATAAGTTTAATAAGTAAGGGTATTTCTCGCCCCAGAGGCTTAGAGATACACTGTAAATGTGCTGGAGCGAGGACTTCAGGGGAGAAAATGTGTAGAAGGATTCTTTTCATTCTTTTGAGGTCATTGCCTTCTCTACTCTTGATTGATATAGTCATTCTTTTTGACACAGTACAGTAAAGTATATGTTACATATAGTGTACTTAGAAAACCTGGGAAATAATTTTATTGTTTTAAAGTATGGTGACATTTATCACTATCTCCTTTCCTTGGGATTTCTTTTAACACTTCCTTCAACTAACCCATAAATAATTTCCTAAATATCTATAATGATCACTAGATCATTATCCTTCTTCCCCCAACAGTGTAGAAATCTTAAAATGCTTTTTTCTTTAAAGGATGGAGATTATTTGGTATCTAGAAATTCTGTGGTCAAAACAAGTCTTATCTCAGAACTATTCCATGGAAGTTATATTAAAATTTTTGAGTAGTAGATCACCATACAAAACGTTTGTTGAAGTACCAGTAAACATTTATTTAAAAAAAATGTTATCCTATTATGCTTAAATGTTGGGCTATTTATGTAATGGATCTTTACTTTATTTTTTATTTTGTCTTATAAATGATGTTTTCTTTAAATTAAAATATGAAGTTCTTTAAACTGATTTATGCAGGAATTAGTGTACCTTTAAGTTTTATGAAAATAACCAGACCAGCCTTGCTCACTGGTTGAGCATCAACCTATGAAGCAGGAGGTTTGATTCCTGGTCAGGGCACTTACCCAGATTGCAGGTCTAATCCCCAGTGGGGGGGCCTGGAAAAGGAACTGATACAAGATTCTTATCATTGATGTTCTTATCTCTCCTTCTCCCTTCCTCTCTGAAATAAATGAAAATATTAAAATAAATAAATAGTCTTTCTGTTGGTTGGATGAATAACTGTGATATTTACAATTACAGACCTTCCCTGGCTGTTCACTTTTAATGTGAAGTTTTATCCTCCTGATCCTTCTCAATTGACTGAAGATATCACCAGGTACTTCATATTTACATAAAAAGCAAACCTTTACTTATACTCTCATTTATTTTTGTGTCCTAAAGTAATGGTTATAATTTCATTATTTGAATGAAAATAATTTTTCTTAAGTTGAGTTGTAGAAGAGCCTTTGGAAGTGAATGTTCCAAAATAGTTTGAAAAGTTGCCAGTTTGAAAATTTTTATTTACTTTTCTTTAATTTATCTTTATATTTAAGTAATGAAATATTTTTTTAAAATATTGCTGGCAACTCTATTTCCTATGGTATACTTTAAAAATCATTGATATTTAATATCTCACATTTCAATACTAAGATAGTTCTTATTATGCAACCCATGTGTCCCTGTGAATTAGTCGCATATTACAAAGGTGATATAAGGCTAGAAAATGAAATTATTTTTAAAAGTCAGTTGAGCTGTAATTTTTTTTGTTGTCCCAATCAAATAAGATATACTTTCTTATGTAAGAGCCAATAGTATTTCATTTCATCTTCTCTGAGATTGTCTGGAATATACAAACATATGCTTGAATTATAAATAAAAGATTCAGTTTAGGAGCAAGTATACATTTCCTGATTCTGAGTATTTGAATGGTAACCAAGGAACATTCTTGTGTCTGCCTGTGCCTTCATGTCTTATTTCTATTCAACTGGGTTCCAGTGGTAGGACTTCCTGGCTTTAGTAAGAGTAAGTCAATAGGGTGATTTGTGTATATTTTTAAAAGGTTATTTACATGGCCAAGGAACATCTAAAAGTATACATATAAATTAGAGGGTCTTACTGGGAGACTTTGCTTTTGATTCTTGGCGATTACTGTGCCTTGATGCTTTCTACTGGGCTAGTGTTGTCAAATATCAAGTTGTGTAGTTGTGCTTAAGAGTGTGTGTGTGATATCCACGTGAAATAGGAATTATGGAGCTATCTTTCCAAGATTGGATTAAATAAAAAGATTTTTTTTTTCCCTTTAGTACTTAGTGCTGAATAGGGGTGTTCTTGAATTAATTAAGTTGTGATTGAATTAGGTTCAGCTAGTAAATAATAAATAGTAGCTTTGTAACTGCACAGTGAGTTGTGTACAAGTTGACAGGTTTGCAGGCATAAGCTACAGAGCCTCAGTGCAGGAATGCAACTAACTGGGGCTTTGTGACCCAACACTTCTGTACACGCACCGCTCCTTGCAGTATTTTTGAGGATGATAATTCTTGGGTGATTGCATCTTACATCATCAGTGTTTTGGTTTTCATTTTAAATTGGGCTTTAACAGTCTCTCTGTGTATAAGGGGAGAAATGATATAGTCTAGTGAGCTAACTAACAGCTGTGGTGGTGCAGCCTGAGACCAGCCACCTTGCCTAAGCTGGTGGCCTGCTTGTCATGATTGAAATCTTCATTCACCATTACTTGATCAAACATTTAAAAGGCAGGGTAAGCAAAAACAGTGTTCAGAATAATGTTTAAAGAATGCTCTTTCCTGCAATGTAAATTTCCCAAGGTGGGAAATTCAGGGAGCTATTGCAGGTTTTTTTTTTTTTTTTTTTTTTTTTTTTAAGCTTTTTGTACTTCAAACTTAAGCTTTGAAAGCACCAATGGAAAAAGTAGAGATAATGGGAAAAGTAGAGACAGTACTATAAAAGGGAGCAACAAAATTTTAGTAATAGATGGAATCTTTATAGACAGTTGTTAAAACTGTCATAAAACGTGGAAAAATAGCAGTTCTTGATTAGCCTTAGAGAACTGGAGGATAACCTGAGTCATTGCTGGAGGGGAGTGAGGGATATCTGTAATAGTGTCAACAATAAAAATGAATTTTAAAAATGAAAATAAAATAATCACAATGATACCCATGCTTTTCTAGGGATCAAGGAAACATAATCCTCCTTAGAAAAAGAGCTTCTGCAATGCATAAAAACACTCAGACTACAGTGATAGTAAGACGACTTTCATTCTCAGAAAATTATTGAGCACCCATCACGTGGCAGATACTTTGCCAGCTGTGGGACTATGATGATAAAGAGTCTCTGACCTGCTTGACAGATGTGTCCAGTAATCAGGTTTAATTGAACTGTGTGATGGCTGATAGCATGTGCTGGGTTGTGCTCTCTGACTGAACAGCAGTGAGGCCTGGCTGAGAGGCAGTGCACCTGTTGAACGTGTTGGGTAGAGGATAAGAGGAGGTCAGGGCAGGGGCAGGGAAAGCATACGAGGCAGAAGTGTCCACACGAAGGTGGCTACCTGCAGTAGGAATAGCAGTCCCTAACAAATCTTTAAAACTGAGAGCCATTTAGTTCGGAGTGGTCGTTGATAACCTTAGCAATTGGTTAAATTTGAGCAATCAGGCTTAAAATGTCACCAAGAGATGTTTGATAGGGGGCAAAAAAAAAATCCTTAAAGAATATAAAAAACATGTTTCTCCATGTTTATTAGTGAAAAAACAGAATCTTTTATAACTGCTTGGTAAGCTACTTGGTACATGGAATAATAATTATAACTAATAATACCATTATGATTATAGCTACCACATATTGATTCCCAGGATACCATGCAATGTGTTTATATTATCTAATTTTTCACCCTCGCTTTCAGAGGGAGGTAGTTTTCCCATTTTACAGGTGTGGATTAACCTTAGGTGAGTAAATTATCTTGCTCAAAGTTACATAGTGTTAGCTTTGCTTCACTGTGAAGCCCATCCTTTTTCAACCACAACTAAACTAGCTACTTCTTTAGATAGGGTAAGTGAGCAAGTTAGGGCTTCAGAGTAAAGACTAACTTATAATTTTTGTTAAAAGTGTCTCAGAAAAATAAGAAGTTAGTTTGAAAAGAGTAGAGAGGAAAAAGGGCAGGATGAGTTTAACTTTTCTTGCTAATTCTTATGGGCTACTGCTATTTTTGGGGGGAGAGTGAAGGAGGGAACAAAATTATTAATTTTTTCTTTTTTTATTATTTAAAGTATTACAAAGAGTAATACACATATGTGTCTCCTTCCACCTCCCTTGACCTTTCCCCAACCTCCCCTACCCCCTGCTACCGCTGTTTTTAAAATTATATTACTTTTTTGCTAATTTTGATTAGTTTTAAATCCAAGGGATCAGTGATTGGAATTTTTACCTTTGATCATAAAACTCTTAGTTGTAATAATTATAGTCATAATACACTACTACTGGAATAGAAGTTCAGAGTTTGCATTTTATTGCTTAGCTCTCTAAACTCAGTTTCTGTATATAAGCCACAAAGTTGGGAGTCCAAGGAGCAAGGTGGGCTTCTTATTAGAGATTTTTTTTTTTTGCTAGGGATATGAAGAATACCTATATTATATATTTGTTTTCAAAAGGAATATTAGGACTCAAGGATTATGAGTGCTGCAATCTTATCTACTTGTTCTCTTCCATCCTTTTCTCCCCCTGCTCCTTAGATACTTCCTGTGCCTTCAGCTCCGACAGGACATTGCCTCTGGCCGCCTGCCTTGTTCCTTTGTCACTCATGCCCTCCTGGGATCGTACACACTACAAGCTGAACTTGGGGATTATGACCCAGAAGAACATGCCAGTCATGACCTCAGTGACTTCCAGTTTGCCCCCTCCCAGACAAAGGAGCTGGAAGAAAAGGTGGTAGAGCTACATAAAACCCACAGGTCTGTTGACATGCTGGCTGGAGAGAGAATGGCATGATAGATTTAAATAGCTTCTTTTATAAAACTTGCTAGACATTAGAGTTGGTAGGATTATCTCATGTTTCCTTTTGGAACTTCACTTAGTACTGATCAAGACACCCTGCAGTCCTTTAGATAGTCTTTCAGGGTCTTTATGACTATAATATGAGGAACTATGCTCAGGAGGCTAACTGTTTTCATATATTGGAAAAGTTTCTTTTTCTTATGACATCTTCTCCCATTTTTATCCCTTTTATACACAGGCAAAGTTGAAACAAGCATACCCACAAACTTGTTTGGCATTTACTGTATGCCCTTTAATTTTTTTTTTATTACAATCTTTAATAAGAAAGCAAGGGAGATGATTAGTCATCCGAATTTGAATCAGAAATGTGGGTGGTGATGGATGTAGGAGAAATGACTGAAATGTGTAAGTGGTTTCTCTATCCATAAAAGATGGCTGTGGTTTAACTAAGGATTACTTAATCACTTACATGCCATATTATAGTTTAAGAACTTTTATATCTGTGTGAAAATGAAATGCTTCTTTTAGCATAAGTTTTAAACTGAAGCTATAAAATCATAGTTTGTCCCACATTGCAAAATTGAAATTTTTGAAAATTTTGAAGATAATGATTTAAAAGAAATTTTTAGAGATTAGAAGTTTTTAAACAGATCATATTTGTTGACTTTTCTATGTGTTTGGTTTTTTTTTTTTTTTAAAACAGTCTTCTCTGACCACATGGTATGAAACTAGAAATCAATCATAAAAAACAAAACCCCTGAAAAATACACAAAAACATGGAGGGTAAATAACAGATTACTAAACAATGAATGGGTTAACAATGAGATCAATAAAGAAATCAAAAGATACCTTGAAACAAATGAAAATGGGATCACAACAACCCATAAATCTATGGGATATAGTATAAGCAGTCCTGAGAAGGAAATTCATAGCATTGCAGGCCTATCTCAAGAAACAAGAAAAACTCTAACAATCTAACTTTATACTTGAAGAAACTTGAAAAAGAACATAATAAAAACTCCATAAGTAGAAAGAAGGAAATAATAAAGATCAGAGCAGAAATAAGTGAAATAGAGTCTAAAAAATAATATAAAAGATCAATGAAACTAAGAGCTGGTTCTTTGAAAAGATAAACAAGGTTAACAAACCTTTAACCAGACTCATCAAAGAAAAAATGAGGACCCAATCAGAAATAAAAGAGAAGTAACAGTTGACACCAAAGAAATAAAAAGGATTGTAAAAATATTACGAACAAATATATGCCAACAAATTGGACAATCTGGATGAAATGGGTAAATTTCCAGAAATATATAATCTTCCAAAACTAAATTAGGAAGAATCAGAGAGTCTGAATAGACAATTACAGCTAGTGAACTTGAAGCAGTAGTAAAAAACACACACCAGCAAACAGAAGTCCTGAACTGGATGGCTTTACAGGTGAATTTTACCAAACATTAAAAGAAGAATTAAAACCTGTTATTCTCAAACTGTTTGAAAAAATTTAAGAGGAGGGAAGACTCCCAAGCTCATTTTACAATTAGCTTTATCCTAATTCTAAAACCATATAAAGACGCAACAAAGAAAGAAAATTATAGTCCAGTAATATAGCCTGATGAACATAAATACAAAAAATCCTCAACAAAATATTAGCAAACTGAATTCAGCTATATAATAAAAAATTCATACACCATGATCAAGTGGGATCTATTCTGGGGGTACAAGGTTGCTATAATATCCACAAATCAATTAACATGATACACCACATAAACAAAATGAAGGGTTAAAACCATATGATCATATCAATAGATGCATAGAAAGCATTAGACAAATCCAGCACACATTTATGATAAAAACTTGGCAAATTGGGAATAGAGCGAACATACCTCAATGTAATAAAAGCCATATACGATAAACCAACCCATAGCCAACATCATAATAAATAGGCAGAAGAGTTGCCTTTAAGATTGGGACTAAGACAGGATGTCTGCTTTTATCTCTGACCCACAGGTAGAGAACTGCTAGCAGGATCACCTAAGACCATCAGAAAACACAGATATTTACATTATGATTCATAACAGTAACAAAATTACAGTTATGAAGAGCAATGAAAATAATTTTATGTTTGGGGGTCACCACAGCATGAGGAACTGTATTAAAGGGTCGCGGCATTAGAAAGGTTGAGAACCACTGTATTAGAGGATCCTAAGATAAAAATGCTAGAGATTGAGAGTTCAGCTGTTTTACCTGTTTCCTGCTTTTCTGCAAATTTATCTGTTACTCCCTGGACCCCAAACTCTCCAAGCTCACCCACCCCTCCCTCCATTTTGGCCACATTTTCTTTGCATCCATCGATAAGATAATATTGTTTCTTTTGATTCTTAGGGGCTTATCTCCAGCACAAGCTGATTCTCAGTTCTTAGAAAATGCAAAGAGGCTTTCCATGTATGGTGTTGACCTACATCATGCCAAGGTACTGTAATGTCATGGGGAGATGGCCTCTTTCCAGGCTGTTGACTGAAGTTTTGAGAGGGCTCCAGTGTCGGAATAGTCTGGTTCACCTTTTGCAAAAGGCTACTCACCCTCGCCCCAGGGCCTCGGTAATATTTCTTTGGTGACTAATTGTGATGTTTATAGTTGTGGGAGGGTTCGTTTTTTCTCCCCCTACTTCTTTTTCCCCCAATATTTTTAATTAATACCCTTTCATATGTACTTATCCCAAGACTCATCAGCCTTTTTGATCCACCATCTTGGTTTATTCTGCATCCCAGCTTTTGTCTTATCAGAAGTAACAAAAGTGCCCTCTATCCCAGCTCCCGCTCCTGCCTCTGTCTTAGGGTCGGAGAGGAGATCTTAGCTACTGTGAAAAGCAAAAGCATTATAGCTATTGACCACTGTCTAAAAACTTCCTGGTTCTAAAAGAGCCTTTGAATTGGGCTTCTCCCTCTTGTAAGATAAAGTAGGCTGGCCCAGGCTCCAGGTGACATAGCACCTTCAGTCTAATTTGAGAGGTGGGAGGAAAAGAATGAATAGGTGATAGGAGAAGGTTGGATTGGGTTGGGTGGTGAGGATGCCAGTAATAAATGTCACCTACTTCATGATCCTTGTTTGGATGATCATTTAATGGGGAGAGCCTAGGAGAACAAGAGGTAAGGTTTGAAAGATGGATTTGGAAATATCTTTGGAGTCAACTCAGCATGCTGAGGGAAGCTCTGGTAGCCTGCTGTTAAAAGACACTGCCAATCCCTAGACGCAGCATAGGAAGCCCAGGTGAAAGGGTTTGTGAGATCTCCAGGAAAGCTCCCCTCCTGAAGATACCTTCCCTCCCTAGTCCTCAGATGAATACTTTTTTTTTTTTTGTATTAACAGTCCATCATATTTGAAAATGTCTCATTCTTCCTCAGTGGCTTCTTTATTCTTTAAAGATTTTTTCTTATTTTAAAAGTAATACATGTTCATTATAGAAAGTAGAGGTGAACAGAAGGGGCAAAATCACTGAAATCTCTCTTATGTGAAACAATCACTGTTAATATTTTGATACATTTTCTTGTTTTAAAAAATTCTTGTTGCCCTGGCTGGCTAGCTCAGTTGTTTAGAGCATCGTCCCGATAGGTTGCAGATTTGATCCCTAGTCAGGGCACATACAAGCATCAGCTGATGAATGCATAAATAAACGGGACAACAAATCTTACCCCCTTTCTCTAAAATCAATAAATAAACATTAAAAAAATCTTAGAGCAGTTGAACTCACGCATTTAAAAATGAGATTAGGCAAAGTAACATTCATTCATTCTGTTTATCATCTGATGGACTCAGATAATATTTGATAAACAAGAGATTTGTAGTTCATTTAAAAGGATACATAGTAATTTAAAAGAATCTTATAGTTTTTGTGTCTTTATAGTTTTCATTGTCTTGAGATTGTATTTAAAACATCTTTTAATTAATGTTTTATTATCGGAAGAGTTTTTAATGGCACTCTTATGTTAGGACAAGTTGGAGGGTGTTGACTAAAAAGCATCTTGACAAAGGTACAGGGAAACCACAGGTGTAGCGATACTTCTGAGGTAGTAGAGCATCAGCTCTCTCTGGAACTGAAGGGTGATTGCAGGACTCTGGAGAGATTTGTGTGGAAAGGACATCTAGAGGGAAACTGTCATTGTCAAGGACACAGCCAGCCAGATGGCAGCCATACAGGGAGAAAATCGGGGCATTCAAAACCTTGACCACCACCTCCCTCCCTTCTCTCTCTGATCTTCTTTGCGAACTTTCCATGGTCTGAGCCATGCAGAAGTCAGTGGGCGTGGGATCCTGTTGATACCCACATGGGCAGCTTCCGATGGCAGTGAGCACAGCAGAGGAGATGCTCCCTTTGTCTTACTTTATCTCCCTGACTTTGAGGTTGAATGTCAGAAGTCAAATACAATGTTTTTCTCCTTATCCTTTATTTGTAATTTCTCATCGTACAAATACTGATAATTCTAAAACAATGTGTGGAACAATAGAAAATCAATCCATTTACTTGGATCCATATTTTGTTTCTCATTAAGTCAGATAAAATAGTTTCACTGTCCTGTCTAAAGATTGCTTCAAAGTAGGGATGGCTTTGTTCAATGTTTCAAATGAGGGCTGCCTCCTCACTTGTGGTGAGAACATGCTGTCTTGGGCAATCTTCCAGTCTGCTTCCTGCGGTCATGGCCAGTGACGTTTTTGGCAACCGCACCATTTGTGAGTGATGCCAAGTTGCTTGGACACCTGTGCCTGACTCACCCAGCTTTTTACTCTATTCCTAGAGAGAATTATGGCTGCCAGGACATTGGTGAATAAAGCACCTTATAGATTAGATATTTAAATCTCCTCAGGTGATCTAATGTAATTTTGTTTGTATATATGAATTATTCACATATCAGCACCTAAAGCAGTTGGCATCAGTTACCTAGTACTGTACTTCTATTTAAAAAAAAAAAAACTAATATAAATTGTGTTACATTGTTCTCAATAGGACAGTTGAAATGTATGGAATTGAGACTAGACTAAATGTAGTGTTTGTTTCAGCACAATTTTTGAGAATTTAGAAATTGTGGGTATCTTTAAATAATATTCTTCAATTTTAAATACAATATTTGAATGAGATTTAGTTTTTCCCTTGAAGATAAATAATAATTGGTACATTTTGAGTATTGTGCATATTAGATTTTCAATACTACTAGAAATGTGAGGAGCCAATTTTTTTACTTTGTCTGTAAACTTACTTGATAGTTTAAAATCTTTCAGGCTTGTGATTATTCTAGATTGTCGTCTGTTCTAAATTAAAAATATTAATAATTAAAGAATAGCCTGCAGTCCTTTGAAATATGCCAGCTAAAGGAATATGCTATGACAAGAACTGGATGTCAGCACTCGGAGTTATTGAATAACTGCTTGAAAGAATTCAAACATTTTAACACTGCCAGTCTAGAAGAGAAATTTTCTGGGAGAGATTGCTGTTTTACAGAATATAGGTGCAACTTTAATAGCTATTAGCTAGAATAATCCATCTGAAGTGAATTTGACTAAAGTAAAAAGCTGAATGTACTTTAAACCAACATACTCTCTATCCTCAAGGGCTGGCGTAGCCTCTTGGAGAACACTCATATCTTCAGGATACCTAAATTGTGTTGTTTCCTTCCTTCCTTGTGAGCTCATAGGCCCAAGCTTAGGAACATGAATAATGCCTTTTGAAGAATATTGTGTCCTGTAGTTATGTTGTGTACTTCTTTGGCAAATCAAACCGGATCCCTGAAGATGATAAGATTTAAGATGTGGCCGGGACCAGTTTGGCTCAATGGATAGAGTGTCGACTTGGGGACTGAAGGGCCCCGGGTTCGATTCCGGTCAATGGCATGTTCCTTGGTTGCGGGCGTATCCCCAGTAGGGGGTGTGCAAGAGGCAGCTGATTGATGATTCTCATTGATGTTTCTAACTCTCTTATCTCTCTCCCTTCCTCTCTGTACAAAAATCAATAAAATATATTTTTTTAAAAAGATTTAAGATGTGTTGTGTGTCCTACCGTTTCTATTAACCTGTGTACTGTCACTGAAATTTAAATACCAACCTGTTAGATTGGTATTCTGGTCATGGTTTGAGGAGCTTCCATGAGCTTCCTGATCTGTATAATTTTCACAATGCTAACTGTGGTCAAATTCTTACACTTGGCAGGACTCAGAAGGCGTGGACATCAAGCTGGGTGTGTGTGCTAATGGGCTCCTCATTTACAAGGACAGACTGAGAATCAATCGTTTTGCTTGGCCGAAAATCTTGAAAATTTCCTATAAGCGCAGTAACTTCTACATTAAAGTTAGGCCAGCAGAGGTAAGCATGTTGTGTAGTCCTTGGCATATCTGATGAGGCTTTGTTCGTGTTCTCCTTCATGGCCATGGGCTAACTGAATTCTTTCCCACTGAATTTAAGAAAATGAACTATTCTTTATTTCTCCATGGTGGAAAAAAGGTCAGGTTCTTAAGGATCAACCTACATATATAGTCCTGTTGCTGAAACACAAGCAACAACCACAGATTCACAGAATAGAGAAGATAGGAAGTGCCTGCCATATTGTGGGGCTCATTTTTTGTTGTTGAATCAGCTAAGTGGAGATCAATTGGAAAATAGTAAAATTAGTTTTAGTGAACGTTGACATTGTTTATGTCAATAGTTATGCACTTGTTTTTCATAGAAACTAGTATTGCAGTCTATGAAATACTTATTTTGTATAAATTATATTAGATGTAATTGTTTTTTAAGAAGAATTATTTTTTAGAGAAAATATGAATTCATGTTTTTTATAATAGTAGCTTCCAATTAACTCCTAAAGAAATATGCCAATTTGTTTATTCTAGCAGGAACAGTTTGAGAGTACCATTGGATTCAAACTGCCTAACCATCGGGCTGCGAAAAGGCTATGGAAAGTGTGTGTGGAACATCATACTTTTTACAGGTAACTAAAAGAAAACAGCTTAAAATTAATTGAAATAGCTCTTTTACTTACTGGGAGGTGGCAGAGGAGAGCGTGGCAGATGCAGCAACACCCTCCTGTATGGCTCTTTACTCTCATCAGTGTCAAATCTCCTTTGTCTGCAAAGTCCACTCCTGTGTCTATTTCTGTTGCCTGGGCCATGCCTTGTCATCACTCCTCACTTCGAACTGTCTGCCTTCATTTTTGTTGACATATCATGGACTCCAATTTAAAAGCAGACCAGTTTGCTCCTGCAGACTTTTGGGATAATGATTAATAAAAGCATTTTTATATCTTTAAATCTTATATAACTTTGCTCACAATATATATGCAACACAGAAAGGGCAAATCATAATTTGTCTGCAGAATGCTTTGAATCGAATCAGTGGATTTTGTTGTTTTAATTTATCACAAAAGATTCAAGTAATTTCTTTAGGAAATTAAAATGGCTTTCAGATTGAAGCCATAAACGGATCTTTGTGTTCATTGACAGCCACTTAGCTAGACTAATCTCAGTAGAACAAGAACATTATAAAGTTGCTGTCCTTGCTTCAGCATTTAATAGAGCCCATCACCATTCTTAGTGTTGCACATGGATTCATTTTATGAATCTTATAACACAGCTCATGGGGCAGGTTGCAATTATCTTCACTCCATAAATGGAGAAACCAAGGAACAGCGAAGTTCAGAAATATGCTCTTAGTCACACACGTAGTAACGGGTGGCGATGGAATGCAGACCCAGGTAGTGTGGCTCCAAGCACCCACAAGTCGGTGCTAGACTTCCCAACTGAATTTGCAGCTGATGTGCTTCCTGCTATTTTCTCAGTGCTTTTTGTTGTTGGTGGTGGTGATGGTTAAACAAGATTAACATGAGGTTCTCTAGCTTGACATTAAACTGCCATTATATTTAACTTTGGCATTGTAAATCCAAATTAATCCCAAGTGAGTTAGTGTCATCAGCTACTTCCTAGAGACTTTTATGGGAACCCATGGCACTCTATTAAATCTATGATTGATTTAGTAATTGGTATCTGGATTTTTCTTAAAATGTTCATTTTCCACAGAGAAACATTAATAATTAATTTGTAATGACAGGAATTTTATAAAATTAAAATGTTAATATACTACTTAAGCAGTAAAGTATGTAAAAGTTGGATTCCTTTAATACATCATTACTTAGATTATCTTGCTCCAGACCTTTAATGATTAGCCTCTTATCATAGCTTTTAAATTTTCAAAAGTAAAATGATAGATGGCTTGTAGTGGTTTTTGATGTTTTTCTTCTGAAGATAGGGTCTGATGTGGAAAATAAAAGTAAAATAAAAAGAAAATAAACTGATCTTGAAGTGATATCCTTAAAATATTTTGTCGATTTGTCTACATTTTCTTAGAAAATTTATTTATATTACCATTGACTTAAATCACCAAAAAAAAAATTCTTTTAAAGGGAGCTAATGTCTGTGGTGAATCAGCCCCTTTTTTGTTTTGATGTTTGTTTCCATTTAATTGAAGTTTAATTACTTAAGGATTTTTTTATCATCAGAAAATTAATCTGCAAGCTAATACTTTGAGTATGTGGTCAACCAGTGTCAGGCAAGAAACAAAATTAAATCCTCTAGTTAATGACTTCCCTTCACTTGCATGTGACATATATCCTTCCAAAATCTATTGGCAGAAAATGGAAGATTTAAAGAAACACTTGTACCAACCTCATGAATAGATTAAAGCCAAGAGAGCCCAGAGGGTTTAGTTCTTTCATCAGTTTAATTCTAACACTTTTCTGGGAGAGAGGGAGGAATGTTTAAGACTACTGAGAATACTTAATTAATGGAGAATCATCTCTTTGTATTACTTACATGTAGCTTTACCTTTCCTTGAAACATTTTTCATTGCTTCCTTAGCAAAATAAGTTTTCTAGAAAATTGGGCAGAAGGTCTAGAATACTTGCAATGCTAAATAATTCTTAAAGATTCACTCTTGGAGAATGATAGGAAAATTTTTGGTAGCATTCTCCCTATTGTGGAATTGTCAACTAAAGCCTTCTTATATTTAAAAACTTCCACAAGAGATCTGAGATTATTTTTTTGTTAAGATATTTTGCCAACTCTTGATCAGACAGTGATAGTGAGGAAATTTCAGTTGTATGCCAGACAAGATTGGCTCATTTACTTAAGAACATGTTTTTGCATACATGGAGGTATTTGACATTGAGTTAACTTTATCCATTATGAACCCGGGTTTAAGCAGTAGAACAGTGCTAGCAAGAAAGGAAGTTAATCATCTCAGTAGATCCACCGCATGCTGCCTTCTTCATGGGAAAGCATCACTTATGGAACAGATTTCTTGTTAGATGTTCTTTCCCAGGAAAAATAGACATAAATATTAAGAATTACTAAGAGTAAGAGATCGCTACTTGGCACTTAGAGCTAAGAGCAAGAATTTAGACATATGTGTTTATCTAAATGATTTAAGCTAATCCAAATAAATAACCTTTGATAAACACTGAGAACAGCTGCACTTTGGCTCATGTCGAGGAAAACATATTCATAAATACATGAATATGGATTTATTCATCTTATCACTATCATTAATCTCTTGAAGGTATATAAGTAATGTTCTTTTTCATTAGGTTAGTCATCCTTTTTTTAATATTGAGTAATCATGCTTAATAAAATGAGATATTAAAAATAATTTTAAAGTTAATAAATAATTCAAAAATTCTAATTTTGTTCCTTTTTCTCTTCACTACAGGCTTGTGTCTCCAGAGCAGCCACCAAAGACCAAGTTCCTGACCTTGGGGTCCAAATTCCGCTACAGCGGACGCACTCAAGCCCAGACCCGCCAGGCAAGCACCCTCATTGACAGACCTGTGCCACACTTTGAGCGCACATCTAGTAAGCGGGCCTCCAGGATTCTAGATGGAGGTAAAGACGTTTTTGACACTTTGGGATTCCATTAATCTTTCTAATCCAGTGGGATCAGAAAATGTTGATCAAGTTGATAAGCCCTCCCTCCCCAACCCCCAGAAATATTCTAGAGGAATAACCATTTTATTCTGAGTAAATAAAGTTTCATTTCTAATGCTCACAAGAGAATTTTGTAGAATTTTGAAGTTGTCAAATCTGAATCTAAATTTTTTTTGCATTATCAGTGAGCACAAATGTTAGCTAAGAGTTTGCAATGGTGAGATGATGGACGAACATGTTTTTACTGGTCTGATTTAATTGTGATATATTTTATGTGACTTATTTTTTGGCAAAAATGTAATTCCAAAGGCTTTTGGTGTGGTAACATCTGACCTTCTATTCAGAGGAACTTAAAACATTCAAATTTTTATGATTTTAAAAACTCTGACTGAAGCATACCAAACTTTTCAGCATATGAGAAATCTCATATGCTGAAAAGTTTTGTTAAAACACTACATTTTCAGTTTAAAATGTAGTGTTTTAACAAAAAGGAAGGAAATATAATATATTCATTTGTTCTTTCACCCCAGGGGAGTGTAAAATTTGTATATTTTTCCTATTGGAATTCTAGTTAGTTACATATTTGTAGTTTTATATAAATTATACATGGGAATAAATTGATGTTGCTTCCTTTCATACATATATGTATCTTAATGCCCTAATTTTGAGTTAATAGCAGATTCTCTAGAAAAAAGCTAAGGTTAATTTTATATTAGAATACTTTATGAAGGACTTAAATTTTTTCTATATAAGTGAAAATTATTTGTATGGATGACTTTCTACCAGAAGTAGCAGCCTTTCAACATTTTTGTTGATTAATCTCAAAACATATAAAAATAGTAATATAAAATTTTAAAATGATCTTTTATTACTGTTATCAAAAAAAATCTTTTTTTGTGTGTTATTTTAAAATGTATTTTATTGATTTTTTTACAGAGGAAGGGAGAGGGAGAGAGAGTTAGAAACATCGATCAGCTGCATCCTGCACACTCCCTACTGGGTACGTGCCTGCAACCACGGTACATGCCCTTGACCGGAATCAAACCTTGGACCCTTGAGTCTGCAGGCTGACGCTCTATCCACTGAGCCAGACTGGTTAGGGCAGCAAAAATCTTTTTTGATTGCTTATTATTACTGATAGCTTTCTGAAATATGAACTTGAACAACTATATTATAAATAATTACCTGAAACAGACAATATGCTAATACATTAAAATATTCTCTCAGTGAAGAATAAACACCCCCTGATCTTGATCTATTTTTCCTAGAATAAACTTGAAAAACAGAACCAGGCATACACATGGAGATACTTCCCAGGATTTGTTATTGGGCATCTTTGTATACATAATTATTAAATATTGATTCAGAAGAATCTTTAGTATATTTTTATGAGACCACCCAAAAATTGCAAGGTGACCATAAACTTGATTCAAATAAATGTCCACATTCCCAAATGTAGGAATTTAAACTTAGTGAATTACTAATGTACAATAGCTATCCGTGTAACTTTTAGCTAATCGGCGACTGAACATTTTTCAAGTAAATCTGAAAAATGTGCCCATTCATGTAAATATTTCACAAACTTTGCCCCTTGCTGTACAGAATTTATGCAAGTGCTGAATAAATGCAGGTAGTTTTGTTTAATGCCCTGAGAGAAATCATTCCTCTTTCTGGAACTCTGTCTGTTTCATCCTTTTTTTTTAAAACTATGAGGCATTATAACTCTTATATTACAAATTTTACAGTTTATAAAGAAGAATAAACTACTGTAATTTCTACGAGGTATATCAGCTATGCTTAAGGAAATGCACCATCTTATATGGGCAACTAGTGCAGAGGGTTATAATAGATTTGTATCTGAAAACAATGCTTTTTTACAAGTAAAAACCACAAACATGGCACAGTAATCCATTATTTTTCCTTTTGTATTCTGAGCACTGCAATTCATCAGATGGGCAAGTTATCAAAAGGATTATTGTGTTATTGTGAAAAATAGAAGGCTTTTCATGACAGTGCAGGACAGACAACCAGTGAACTATTTGGTTAGGACTTATAGCCTCCTTTTTTTTCCTTCCTCAAAGCAAAGCTAGGCTGTCACCTGGTATTGAGCTTTATTTTTTTCTCACCACTCTCCATTAACATACCATTTTTGTTGTTGTCCTGTTTAGTTTTTAAGTAAGGCTAGACTAATGTAGATATATGTATCAATAGTTCTCACTTTAAGGCTTCACAATCTTCTAGTGATTACAGAGAACATAAAATTTAATGTGATATCTAAAATCAAATCTAATAATCAAGCAATAATAAAAGTCAATCCAGAACAGCTGTTTTAGAACAGTGAGAAACCAAGATTGGAAAATCAAACGAAAAGGTAGGCAAAGCAGTCATTTAAAAGAGTTTATGACCAAGATGCATTTGAGAGCAGGGAAGCAATGGTTTCATGAAAATGGAAAATATAATAATCAGGGACACTAGTTAGATTGGGTCATCTGGGAATGGAGGCCTACATGAGGAAGAAGAACCATTTCAGTTGAGATTTGAAGGATGAGTAGGAGGCAAACTTGAGTAAAGCAGGAGATAAAGCATCACAGATAGCAGGAGCAGTGGGTTTCAAGATTGTAAGACTAGGGAGAGCTTATTACATTCCAGAACAGAAAGAAGTCAACTGTAGTCAGAGCTTAGTAAGTGATGGGGAGAGGTAGGCTTGAGCAGGTCACACATGACCTTGTATGCCATGGTAAAGAATGTGGTTTTTATTCTAGGTGTTTCAGGAAATTGCTGAAAGTTTGAGTGTGCGTGTGTAGTGTGTATATGTCCAGATGTGTACACGCTTGTGTAAGCACATAAGTACACAGTGTTATTATTTTTAAACAATGACTTTACAATGTCTAAAATCATTAGAGGATGAGAGAGGAAGCAGGAGGACTGGTTGGGAATAGTCAGATGAGAGTAATGGTGGTCTTACATTGGGTGATAGTAAACCAGTTAGCCATTTGGCACCCTAAGCTCAGTGGTTAGGGTCTACAAATTTCTCTGGGTTCTACAAGTGTTTAACACCTAAAAAAAAAATTGTTTTAAAAGTTCCCCTGCAAACTGAAATTAATAAATGTTCAAAAGTATGCAGTGTCAACATTTTGTCAAAGTCATTGTGTAAATTTAAATTTGAAGCTCATTAAAATTTTAATATTTGAAATTATTTCTCAATCAGATTTTTCCTATTTTGCAATAATTTCTGAGTATGTGTAGGGGTGCTTAGAAATCATAATCATAAGTTAAAATAATTACTCATAGCTCTATAATTTCCAAGTGAAACTTATGAAAATCTCAAAAGTTTATTTAAAAAAAAAAACACCTGGAAAATAATTATACCTAATGTAAGATGTGAGTTCATTTTATGGCATTCTGTGGACTTTCAAAAGCATGAGTCCTGAGGGATCTGGGTGGTCAAATAGAGATGGAAGAACCAGCCACATTTAGAATAGATCCAGCACTTGCTTGGACTTGCAGATGTTGAGGGGTGAAGGAAGAGACTTTGAGGTTTCTGGCTTGCGTTAACTGGGTGTAAACAAGTATGAGTGTGGCCAAAACAGCAAGGCTGGGGAAGAAGGAAGTTTTAGGGCATGTGAGGGATGTAGATCAAAGGTTTCTTGTAAAACATGGACTAGAGGTGCTTGATACCTCCCAAGTTCAATGTGGTGGATGACTTCCAGTCTCTGCCCTCCAAAGGCTTGCAGCCTAAAGGCCTTTGTGATTACTGAGCATGGATCTGGGCCAGTCAAGCACTTTTTATACAACTAAAATGGCCTTAGTGGTGGTTCCTGTGGTTTGTGGGAGAAACTACAGATAGACAGATGCTTTGCCAGCTGCTACTCTCTTTGCCTTGTTGAGATCTGAGGCTATCTTGGGTTGATTTGCCATATGACATAGATTGCAACATAATTTATGTTCCTGCCCATCTATGGGACAGATGAAAGGAATACATGAGGGCCAGGCTTGCTGAGTGGGAGGGTATCTATGTATTAGATTTACTGTTAGGTCAAGTTGAGACATTCAGGAGGGATAAAAACTATTAAACAAATTCATAGAGAAATGAAAACTATTAAACAAATTTATTCCCTAAAATCTACCTTTACTGTCTTGTCATAATTTTAAGTGGCATTTAAGTTAAAGTTCTTTTATGGGTGAATTCTTTAAACTTATTGAAGCAAATAATTTTAATAAATAGACAATTATGTGTTTCAGAAATAATCTCAGATAAGATAAAGAAATCCTAGAGAATTAAAATAATGCTTACATTGTGATTCTGACACTGCTTTGACTCTCATTTTAGCTGGTCTTAGAGCTCCTTCTGCTGGCTGATTCCATGATAAGAATATACCCTTAAAAAAAAAACAAAAAAAAAACTGTTTCAGGAGCCTGTGTGGTTAAAGGATTAAAATTCAGAATACTTTCAGAGTTCAGTGATTTGGTTCAGTGGATAGAGCATCAGCCTGCAGACTGAAGGGTCCCGGGTTTGAATTTGGTCAAGGGGCATGTACATCGGTTGCATGCTCCCAGCCCCCTTTCACTGTCTCTAAAAATAAATGAAAAAAAAATCGTTGGGTGAGGATTTAAAAAACTTAAAACTAATAAATAAACATTAAAAAAAAAGGTTTAAAATTTAGTTTATTTGGTATGTTGGTATTTTCAGAGCTCAAGCAACGTTCCTGTTGAGTACATGCTGCCTGCTTATCTGTGTAAAAGGCATTTAAATGTCCTAATGTAATCCAAATGATCATTCTTTACTAACTCTAGTTGCTGTTGTGGACCAAAGTCTTATGAAGGATTCTCCGGGCCCTGGGGAGGTGTCGGCATATGGCCGTGGAGCTGTCAGCACTGCCATAGTACAGGATGGGGATGGCAGGAGAGACATCAGAAGCCCCACTAAAGTCCCACATGTTCACCTCATTGAAGGAAAGGTATGATAAATTAGTAGAGTATGTGATTTTAAATGTGTGCTTAGACTAGAGGCTATGTTGCATTTGCTGTTTCAGAACTAAATAATATTTAAAATTAGTCAATGAATGTTCTCTTTTGATATGATTTTCAAATATGTGAAGGCTCTTGTTTGGACAGTGTCTCTAACCTTTTTCTGAGTGGTGTTCAAAGCAAAAATATTTCAACGTAAAGTATATTAATGCAAGTAAGTAATTTTTAACTCTTCATAATCATTCTATTTAGTTAAATCCTCAAATGATAAAAGCTATGATGATTGAAATTTATATTTGTTTGTCACAAGTAAATGTTAACGTATAACCAGTATTATTACTTTAATTATGTTGACTTACATTTTTTGAAATGAGCAAAGATGGTCTTTATGAAAAATGTTATTTTTCATTAGTAATCTGTAACTGATGAAGAATACATTCTTAAGCAAAGGTAAGTGTCTGGTGAACAGTGGTGTGTTGCTTTTGGCCTTATTTAGTGTATACACTATAATGAATAGAGAAGTACCCTGGATTATGTTTTCAAATTTGTCACTGTTATTTATGTTGCCTTGGGCAAGTGAAGTCACTTAGAGGTTGATTAAAGAGGCTTTGAGTTCTTTAGATCTCTTCTATACCTGCACAAAGCAACACACACACAAATGAAATCATTCTGTGGATTTATAATATTCTCTATACTTTAACTTTGAACATTCTGAAGACATGCAGCATGAATTCATAAAGAACCTGCCAGATGAAGTAGCTGCCAGTTCTCAGGAATTTGACAACTTCTTATTCTCAGCATAGAAGAGGGTAAGGGGGCCATGCAGACCCTTATGCCACAAGGACAAGGGCTCCAGGTAGCATGTGCCATCCAATCACCTGCATATCTTTGTTAAAGAATTTGTATTGTATTTCAAAAACTATTTGTTCAAAAATTATTTAATTAAATATAGCAAAAATCACGTCCAACAAGGTATCCTTGAACTACTGAAAAGTTGTCAGAATCTTTTAAAATTATACTGACGAGGTACCTAGGAGAGTGGCTCCTTATATCTGAAACAGAAAAGCTCAGCAATTTGAAGTCTATTCCATTTTGCCTGGTTAATTTGATACATCGTTTTGTTTTTGTTTTTTGTTTTTTTAAGTTCTTTTAAATTCCAAAGGAAATTTTGCTTATCTTCATTCAGCAAAAGATTGAATATGTTGGTCTTTTTGCCAGTGCTTTGAATGTCTGTCAGCAACCAGGTTTAAAAGTAATGATGCTGTTTGAGTTCCATTGGATTTATTTGCAACCAGTCAGAAAACAATAGTTAAAGTAGTCTGTACCTATACATTTTATGATAAAAGTAGTTCAGTTTTCTTCTTATTAAAAATGGATCATTTAATTCATTTTCTAACCCCACTGTGTTAATACAGTCCCAACTTTTGAGTAAAGTTGTTCACTAACTACTTATTTCTTCTCTCCTCTTTTGCCTCCATTTCTCCTTTGAATGTATCTGTGTAATTTCACATTCAACCATGGATTTGCTTCTGAAAATAGCCTGTTTTCATCTGCCCACCTTCACCATTCATCCGCTATGCTTCATGTCTTTCCCCAAACCTGTTACCAGTCCCGGAAATGGACTTGCTTTCAGACATTTCGGAGGAAGACCCCTTTGGGGAGGCCGACCAAATCACACTAGACAGCTTAGAACTCCTTTCCACAGGGGAAACAACCGAGCAGGGGGACTGTGACGTCGCTGTCCTGGATTCTGTCCTGGATCCTATTGTAGCCCCTTCTCAGATCGACTGTCCTCCCACCCACGAGCAGCCTCTCAAAGAGGCTGACCACAAGGATTCTGAGTTTGGATACTTTCCTTTCAGTTTCTGTAAATGCTTCCCACCCGCCTTCCCCTCACTCCTCGATGAGGATGGGTACCTTGCTTTCCCTAGCCTCCCCAAGGTCTGGGTCTCCTTCCTCCCCGCTGACGTCCAGCACTATGTTCCGATCACCTCCCCTTCCTTCCTTCCCTCTCTCATCCTCATCTTTGGGCTCCTTCTCTCTGCTTCTCAGTCAGTGCCCTTTTCCCTCACATTTTCCCTTCCTCTGGCTCTGTCCCTCTGCTTCCTGGAGGCCAAAGCGACATCCTTTCACGTGTCTTATGACTGTGACTCTAATGACAGAACAGAGGAAGAGGAAGCAGTTGTTGGTACTCCCACATAAGCTTCAGTCTGTACAGTCCACAAAACTACACTTCATCTTATACCCATCCCAATGTAGAGTGTAAACATGTGCATAAACTTTTACCACTGATTACCCTCACTATAGTATGAGCTGCACATTTTCACACAGATAATATTTCAGTGCATGAGCAATAAGTGTAAGCAACTTCCCTTTTATTGACATCCATTGAGAACTCCATACTTGCTAAGTTGAAAGTAGAGTTATAGGATTCTTTTATAAATGTCTGTAAACCTTAGTAGGTCTTAAGAAAAAAACAGAACTTAGGATGCCATGGACATCACAGTAATTGATATGTATAAGTAGAGTTTGTATTAGTTCTTTTGTTAGAAAGCCAAGCTCGTTCTACTTGCATTTATGCATCTTTATTCCTTTACTCCTGATATTTGTAGTTCTAGTCTCAAAAACTCCTTGTCTCTCTATTATTGTAGCATTCGGAGACCAAATGAATTTCAGGTAGTATTTTATTTTGTGTTGGTTTTTTTGTGTGTTTTTTTTTTTAAACTCTAAATCATATAATTATGTGACAAAGACACTGTCAGATATTTTGTAAGGAAGATATCTTTATCAAATATGTATGGAAAATTAAACAAGGCTTTTTAAAAATTTAGTATATATAGCCCTAAGGTTGGGCCTCTTAGTGTTCTTAACAATAAATGTCTAATATGAAGATTTTTACCCTTTTATAGAGCTACCTCTGCACTGCTAGACAGTCTGTGCTAATGTATGCAATATGTTTTTGATTGTTTTGTAAAATGTGGTCTGGTGACTTAGTGTCTTAGTATCCTGTGGTTACTATCAATACATAGAGTAAGTCATGTGATTTAGAGCAAACATAAAGACATATGTGAAGATAATGCTATGGTTAGGCATTGAGAAGCCACGAATCTTAAAGGGTACCCACGAATGTAAAAGATGGACATTTTAGAGAATTCAGTGTTGACCCGAGAATTGGAAGATAATTCTTAACAATTATTGGCTGTGTCTATTATTTACCTTCTGATAAAAAGAATACTCCGAGGTGTCAGAAATACTTGAATCCTTTTTCTTTTTAAAAAAAAGAACATTTTTAACTTTCAGATTTGACACTATTATTTGAATATGATATGTATATGCTCCTGCTGTCAGTTAACATGTAAAGGTTAAACTGTTTTCCTTTGGTATCAGAACCAGTATTTTTCTTTGTTGCCATTCCTGACACTGAGTCAGTCAGTAGTCATTAGTATTTATGCTAGTTTTAAATTTACATTTTTATTCTTTTGGGATGTTAAATACTGAGACTTGCTCAACTATGAAAATTGATTCTTGTTTGAAGTATTTTATGAAAGAAAAGTGGCTATAGTTTAAAGAGTGTTTTTAAATACCCATCATTGTAACATGAATGTAGCATAGTAAGCCAATTTCCTCCTCACCAAGGAAAGAAATCTGTGTAAAAAAACTGAATAATAGGGAACATTTGTCTCTGACGTAAAGGGAAAGCCAAATTTTACATCATTTTACTTTGCCCTTATCACTAATGGATTTAGACATTTCAAATTAGAATTGGTTTAATTATGCCATTTTTACACTCTCAGATTTTAATTCCTAAGTTAAAAAAAATACTCAAAAGTAGTGCATGTAAAGTAAGGACTGAGAAAGAGCGAAGCTTCCATTCTCCATTCCACCCTTGCAAAGGATCATTTCCATCATTTATACAACACTGTAGGTGAAGAAAGACCAGGTGGCTTAATGTTCTGCATCTTCTGAGGGCCACGCAATGAAGGTTGGTAACGCTAGTTCACCATTGAAGTTCAAATACAGCTTCTTTGCACCAATGGTAGAGTTTCTACTAATACTTCTGTTTCTGGCCACTTGCTGTATGACCTTCAGGCGAAGATGGAAGAAGAGGAAACACAGCTGGAGGAGGTGGATATTTTTTCTGCAAAGTTAAAACCTGGTGGCTGCTGCCTGCCGTTATTCTTGTGTGTGGGGTGATGCACTTTCAGGGTTTATTTGTCAGTTTTGCTTGTTGTGGCTTTAGGTTCTTAAAATTTTTATTACTGTTAATGTCTTAGAGTCTAAGACATCCAACTCTGGTGCTTGCTGATTGATACACTTACGTTTATTTGCTTTTTTCCCCCTGTGTGTGATTTAATTTCACAGAAAAATTCCTTGAGAGTAGAAGGGGATAATATTTATGTCAGACATAGCAATTTAATGTTGGAGGTTTGTATAATTTAAGAAAACAACTGTCCTGATGGCTGCCAGGCTGCTATGGATGGGAGGTCACTCACAGGCTGGCTGGCAACATCTTTCAAGCACAGCGCATGAAATGCATGGGGAAAATCCAGCTCGGGAGTGCATGTTACCAGTCTGACTGTTCTTTTAAAGCAGCTTAGGTAGGAATATGTTCACTAGAAGTTCTCAAAGTGACAACTGGGAAAACAAGTTCTATTTTGTCAGATGAATAGTTTTAACCATTAACCTTGAAGTTCTAAGAGTAAACTTATTCTCTCCTAATGGGTTATCGTAGGGTATGGAATCTGAAATAATGTGATCCCATCCTTAATGTACTTTAACCAGAACAGATACTTGTTGATCTGGCATTAAATCATTTTACTGTTGACCTATGTACACAAAAGTTTGGGGTGGGGATGAGGGTAGAGGTGGGTGGTGGCACTAAAATCAACGCAGTTAGGAAATGTGCTTCAATTAAAGTATTCCAAGTGAAATATGTTAATGAATGGGATTGTTTTGATAAAGAAGAAAGAAGAAATGAAAGACAAAAAAGAGGGGGGGAAAAGAAAACCTAGCCACCCAGTTAGGAATGTCAACTATATTCCCCGTGTCACACGAGAACTTTTCTTCTCCTTATTTAGGGGGCAGTACGTGGCAATGTATTTAGTGGTGAACTGCAATTCTCAATAATCCGACTAATCAATTTGGTTGCTTTTGGCAGCTTTGATAATTATTGAAAATGTATTTTTGCATAACTTACTAAAATGCTTTAAAGTATAATACATAACATTGCTTTGGACAAATACAAGAAATGTGCCTGATCTCAAGCCACAGTCATTTTTCCATGCCATGCAAAGATTTTTAGATTTTCATGAGTTTTTGCAAATGGCTGTAGAAGCTCATTGATGAGCAACTATGCTTGTGCATGAATACGGAATCCCTAATTATATCATTTGCATGCCCGGTTCCTCTGGGAGTGGGAAGCTGTAATCAACAGGTGGTCCCCATGATTTTTGAAATGTAAAAAAAAAAAAAAATGTTTAAAATTCAGTTAAAACCATTTCCTAAACAATAGTTAGTTTCAATTTCCACAAATACTAGTTTTCAGGGTGAATATAAAAAATCCCATAATACCATTCATCAAGGCCTACTCCAGTGAAAAATCAATCTGGTAATTACTCTTGCATTTTTGTCTGTATAAGGATCATTTGGTATGTCGGGCAGCTGGGCCTCACATTTATGTTTAGCAACTACATGAAACCAGTATGGGGTTATTTTATGAAGAGATCAAATACAAGCAGCCTATGGAAGCTGTTATTTTTATCCCTTAAGATTAAAAGCCACTGCTGGAATTTCCTAGAAAAAAAGTCACTCCTTACCCACCCTACCATCTCCCCTTTGTGGTAGATGATCTTGGACTGGCTTTCCCATGAGGCCATATGTGCTTCTGAGTCCACCTTTCTCTGTTTTTATTTGATTTAATGTGTTCACAGAAGGTAACTTCAGAAGTAGCCCTAATCAGGAAGGTGAGTCTATAGGAACAAATTCATGGGCTACAGTCAAATCTATTAGAGTTATTAGCCATTTTGAGTATTAGTTCCATGACTTCCTTCTAATAATGTAAATAATTATTCCTTTAAAAATTCTTAAAAAAAAGAAGACATTAGAACCCTTTAAGATATGAATCATAAAAAATTACATATTGGCTTTATGTTCAAATTTTGAGGAACTCATTAAGGTTATTCATAGGTGATACTATGGCTTTTGAGACTTGGCATTTTTCTTGCTTTAGTATGTTTTTTTAAATCATAAGTATGCTTTGTCTTATTTTTTGGTTTTATTTTTATTTTTGTCCTACTGGGTTTTTTTTTTTTCCCTTTTGGATTTCCCCCCTTTATTACGTTACACATTGCTAGGACCTGGATAAGGCCCAGGAGGACATACTGAGACATCAGGCTAGCATTAGTGAACTCAAGCGCAATTTTATGGAATCCACACCCGAGCCGCGCCCTAATGAATGGGAAAAACGACGTATCACACCTCTATCCCTACAGATGCAAGGGGTATGTCACTAGCTGTTTGTTGGCTATATGTCTCCAGCTTTTCAGTAAAATTCAGGTTGCTAATCTCTGATGCTGATTCCCAGGAAGTTACAAAATGTTCCCAGGTGTGTTTGTTTGTTTGTTGTTGTTTTTTTAAATGTAATTGCTAACAATTTTTTTAAATACTAAATACTTATTAACAATGTAATACGTGTCGACCTAGTTCTTAAGTAAATTGTATGAGTTTCAAAGTACTTTTGAAATAGTTTCAGACTAACTATTTTACTCAGTTGCAATATGTTTTTATATAGGATGACTTAGAAACTAAGATTATATGATATTTAATAAGGTTTTCAGATATTGACTTATGAAATAAGAATGTTTGTTTAATAATTAAATAATTAATATGGATCATTTTTAGAATGGTTTAAGGTAATTACTAAGAGGAATATGAGTTAAAGTTACCTTTGAAGACTAATGAGCCTTGGTGAAAACTTGCAAAATGTTGTGTCATACAAGTTAATACTAAGTCTTCCTCGGAATGAAATGTAGATGAGTGTTTTAAAAATGTTTTCAATCATAACATTCTTTTTTCTTTCTGTGATTACTTCTCCCCATCAATATCGTATTGCCTTTAGAATCTATTCCCAAAATACTTCTCCATTTATTTCCATTTGTATTTGTTCTTTTCTGATGCTCTCAAAATCTCTTATTATCAGCTATGAACTTTCATGGACTCTTTATCATACTTGAATAGACAGTGATTATGCTATCTTTAATACACAATTTAAAAAATATATAAAGGTCTTATCCTATAATTTTATCTTTCCATTTTTTCTTATGCCCCTCACTTCTTCATAAGTTCATCATCCAGTCTGACTTGAGTGTTGCCAGATTGTGCACATTTGACTTAGATAACCTCATGCTATTTTTATTAACCTTTTCAGTAAAAACAGAGCTATTAGTTGATTTAAATTTCTAAGTTTGTGACTGTGAAAGGAAGATAGCTCTTTAAGAACAGATGAGAAAGATAATTGCTGAACTGAATAAACAACTTTAGAAAATACTAAGATTTAAAACACCATGGTGTTGTAGGATCTTATGAAGTTGTATACAAGTTAAATTCTCATTTTGAGATTTTCTGAAGGTATTAGTGTTCATATTTCAGCCATTGACTCTTGTGTTGTCTGGAGAAACAGTGTCTGGCATGCTAATATTTTGGCCTCACTGTATGTGCCCCTTCATCCAGTTTGTTTCGCTGACCCACACAATTGTTCTGTGTTTGTGTTGTTGTCAATGTGATGTACTTGTCTTATTTGTTGATTGTCTATTGTTTAAAACAATAGAGAAAAGGAGACCATCTTTTCAAGGATATTTTATCCATGACCGAGAAGTATCAGATGGCGTCAACATGGACAGTTGAAGAAAAAAAAGCCCAGGCAGCAGACAAGGTGTTCACCTTGCATCCTTGGATCTACTCTTGCTTTTTCCTCTTTTCCTTTTATTTCTGTCCACAGCTATAAGTAATTTTTTTTCTTTCTCATGTGTTAATTAAAATTTTTTGAAAATAATTTTTGGCATTAAAAAAGTTAAATCTCCATGTAGAGGTCATTAGGTGAGATGGTTGCAGAAGTACTTCATTTGAATATCCACATTTTGAAATGTAGACATATCAACTGATAAGTGACCCCAATTTTGATATATGTGGCTGGCAGTTGGGAAACCATGCTTTCATATGAAAATGCACTGTTTGTACAACGATGTGTATACTGTGGTGGTGTTAAAATAACAAATTCTATGCAAGTTAGGTTAGTAGTTTAGTAATTATCTTTGGGAACCTTTTGAATTTTCATTTTTAAGATTTTCAATGGGGGGAAAAAAGATTTTTTTGTGTATCATAGAAGCTCCTCAAACCTTTCTCTGTGCTTCTGCATACATGAATATCTGGCATTACTAAGAAGTTAGCTTTCTGTTGCTTTTACATTCTTATTCTTCTGTTTCTCCTGGTTTTGCTTAGCCAGCTGGTCAGCCAGTTAATTGCTGGAGTTAGAGAGCTTAGTCTGTTGGAGACAGACAGGGACATGTAAAGGAGTAATTAGAAAATGTAGGTAAAGAAGTCGGTGTTCGAAGGTAATTGGGAAGGTAATTTTGTGTTCGAAGGTAATTGGGAAGGCGGATTTACCGTTGTGTCCAGGAAGAGTTGGCATTTCAGCTGAGATCCTAATGATGAGAAGGAGGCAGATGTGAAGTTTTCCATTTATAGGGAAGAACACATGAAACAGCCCAAACGAAATAGTTTAAGGACCTAAAGGACCAGATGATAAGAGCTTAGGAACAATCGAGGAGGTCAGACCCCAGATCCTGTCGGGTCTTAAAGACCATAGTAACATTTTGGAATTTGTTACAGGAATAAATAGATGTGAAGTTTTCCATTTATAGGGAAGAACACATGAAACAGCCCAAACGAAATAGTTTAAGGACCTAAAGGACCAGATAATAAGAGCTTAGGAACAATCGAGGAGGTCAGACCCCAGATCCTGTCGGGTCTTAAAGACCATAGTAACATTTTGGAATTTGTTACAGGGAAGCCACTGGGGAGCTTTAAACTGGGTCTGCTGAAGATCACTCTGCTGCTGGGTGAGGAATGGAATACAGGGGATCTGAAAGAGAACAGGGATCAGTAGTGTTTTCCTTCCACAAAAGTCTGATTTTGTACATCAGTAGAGAGTATTATTTATCAAAACATACAGTGGAATGGAGAAGGAGGCAAAATAAATGGAAGATGAAGTCTTGCTCTAAAAGAATTTGAGGTATAGTTGAGGTGAAATATTTCCAGAATACTGCAAATAAGAAAGCTAAACCAAGTGACATATTTATATGGTATAATGTTAGCGTGAGATCCAAAGCCAATTAGACTCTGTCTAAAATGATGACATTAATATTACATGTTTTAAAACATTATGTATTTTTTGACACTTTCACGTCCAGAAGCAAGTCAAATGGTAGATTTGTTCAATTTAAAGTAATGTCCTTGTATTTTTGCTGTAGGAGACTTTGGAATTTTGTTGAAGATGTTTACAGTTCATCATTTTTCTGGATGTCATGGTTTAGGAATGCACAATGTAAAATATATCATAGACACTTTATGTGAAGTTTAAACCTGGAATTCGCCCACTGTTAAGCTCCAAAATGGTTTATCTGCACTTGAAGTTACTGCTTTCTTCTTGTTCTTTTCCTCTCTAGCGCTGCAGGAAAATATGTACTTATTTAGCATACATATGACTTGTTACTGCAATCATCCTTCATTCATCCTCCCAACAAACTTTGGTTTACCGCTTGCAATGTGTCTTTTTACCCAGATAACAGTGCATCACTATTAGTTGAAAGTGTGTGAGTAGTTATGTCTACTGCAGTGTTTTGACTTTTAACAGGATATCTTACAGATTTTTGCCTTTGTTGCATCTTCATTTTGCAGAGGTTTTTTTTTTTTTATTATCTTTAAATTGTAATCCTTAATGAAATGTAAAATAAATAATTATGCATGAGTATAAGCTGATCAAAATTTCCAGATTTCTGTAATATTGGTTTCACAGATTTTAAAAAACAGGAATAGTTTCTTGTTGAAAAGTTAATGCATTGAACTTGCAAAATGCATTCAGTTTGAATATGAATAATTTTGAAAGTAGAGCAGAAAGTTGGAAACCAAATCGTTTAGTCTTTAATAGATAACTGTGGTATATCTTTTTATGTATTGTGAGAATTATGACATACTTAAACTTGTATAATACAAGAGTCTCATGAGTTAGTAGTGATTACATAGACTATAGTTTATTATTTTAAAAATATATATTTTATTGATTTTTTACAGAGAAGGAGAGGGATAGAGAATTAGAAACATTGATGAGAGAGAATCATCAATCAGCTGCCTCTTGCACACCCACTATTGGGGACATGCCCTTGACCAGAATCAAATCTGGGACCTTTCAGTCCTCAGGCTGCTGCTCTATTCACTGAGCCAAACCGGTTTCAGCTAGACTATAGTTTTGAAGTACTTTTGAAATGCCTATTTTATTTAATACTTAAATGCATCACGCTTATTTAAATTCCCCATGACTTCTTACTGGCAAGGAAGCCCTCTCCACCAACTCAAACCCTAGGGGTGGTATAATTATGGAGAATATAATGAAATTAATTAATCCAGAAGTTTTTTTCCCCTCCTGAATATTGCAAATGTTTATGCACCTAGCCCTCCTCATCTCATTGTCCTTAGTCCTCACTCCTTCTAGTGCACTGTCCCAAAAGGGGCATCCCTAAAATGTCATTCATTCATCCACCTAACCAATCATCCATCCGTCCATCTATCTTTAAGCTCTCATAAGCAGTGGGTGCTTCATGGTGACTCTTCGCTATTAGCATTTTTTATGTGGGACAATCCCCAACTTTCTTATTGTGCAGGTTAGGGACCATCACTTAAGGGCCAGAAATGTGAAGATTACATTTGTCTTAGTTTTTCAAGGACAGATGATTTTAACATTGCTCACTGAATTTTCATCCCTGAGTTTGTCTTCCTGTTTAGAAATCTTTTATTTACCTGTTTCTTATTGGGGGGGAAAAGATACTATTTATTTCATGGCATTTTAGCATGTCTGAGGGAATTTCTGTGGGTTGCTATCAGATCATTTGTGAACAAAGTAATGTGGAAAGGGGAAGAGTTAGTAGGAGCTGGAATGGTTAGGGAAGGGCATGCACAAAATATAGAATATTAGGTGTACCTCAGACAGATGACAAAATTCAGAAGGCTATTGGAGGCAGGATAGGGTCACCAAGCTATGACACAGGAGTAAGCGTTTCAGGTGGAGGGGCCACTGAAGAGTTCCTTCTGTGCAGAAAAAGGCCTACTCTGAAGAGCTGCCTCAAGAATATACAAAACAATGTTGGGTGGGTGGGTAAGCCCTGCTCAGTTTGTGATAAAAGTTTTAGTGACAAACCAAGGAGCTTTAGCCTGTTTTCAAAGGTTAGAACTATCATCGATTCTCAAGCAGGGTGGAAAGCTGGCATTCAGGCAAACCGCCACTTGCTCCTGCTGCAGGATCTTTGCTAATCCTCAGCTTTCTTCCAATTTATGCTGTTCTGTGATTCTTATATAACCTTTCCTTTTTTCCAGTAGGTCACTGCTCTTTGTTCCAACTTACTGGTAACTCTTTGCTCTTCCTTTTCTGACCTCTAGAGCCTAGAAGAGGAGATAACATCAATTTTGTTTAGTGAAAAGGGCTTTTCTGATAGCATGAAAGCTACCTTCACCTCAGCCACCACTTGGACAGCAGAGGGCACTGGTGTGAACTCTAATGCACCTTGTGAAACACTTTCTTCCTGGCCCTTCTCACAGTTGCCTGAGGTGCATTTTACTTTGTTTCCCTGTTTTTAAATGCCACATGTGAGAGTGATTTTTATTTTTTAAATATCCAGGAACTCTTCCCTTTAGTGCTTTCATTGTTGAAATTAATTCTTCCTGGGAAAAACATTTATGAAATAATGATTGAATTTGGATGTAAGGAAACAACACAGATTGGATGTTGTCTTGCTTTTGGATGCCCCCTCTCCCCCAAATCTACCTAAATTCACAGAATCATTTAAAACACTAAAGCCCAGATTTGGAGTTGTTATGTGGAGGGAAACCCTCAACCAAGGAAAGAAGCCAAGTATGTTTCCAGAATTAAAAATATTCAAAACCCAGTGTCTTTCAGGCATCTTCTGATGGCTTAGCACTTAAAAACTGTTTACATGGAAAAATCTGAGATGCCTGTCATATTCAATGAAATAGTTGTTTTCATTTTTTTTTAAATGAACTTAAGGAATTCCCTGAATTTGGGCAGAACCCATCTGAACATTTGAAGTTAAGTAGTAATAATAATAATGTACCGACATATAATAATAATGAACATTTAGGCACTGTACTAAAGTAAATTCACTCCCACGGAGTAAACGCTTGCAGGGGGGCAAGGGTGAGCATCTCAACAACGTTGGTTCCTTTAGGTTTTCAAAGATACTAGAAGGGGGCTAAATTCTAAGAGAAAACCCTTGGGATCATTGTCGACATCCACCCTAATGTCATGGACCGGTTTGTTCATCTGTAATCTAATTTGGATGTTAGCCAGTTCTGGAATAACATTTTTATGTTATCTGAGATCAACAATGATTTTGCCAGTTAAAGCTGTGTTTTTAAATGAGCCAGCATAAAAGAAAAGTTTCATCTTATATTTATGTAGGAGTCAGGGTTTCAGACAGGCTTTATAACCTGATTAAGACCAAGACTGTTTGTTGAATAGGTTTTATAATTTTAAAATTTATACTTTGAGATAATCAGTAACCTTTGGTATAATTCCAGCGCCCCCATCCCCCCCGTCTTTTCAATTATACGAGTAGAGCTAATAGATATAACTATAATAAAAGCGCTTTATTTCTTTGGGAAGATGCTGGCTGTTTTGTGTTTTTGCTTTCTTGTGTAAGCTTTTTACCTGTCTTGTTTTTATGTGACCTTGAGCAAAGGTTTTGTGGATTTGTTCTGTCTTCGCAGTGTCAGATGTTTGTTTAGTAGGTGTTAAGGTAAAACTTTATTGATTTGTGTCCTCGGTTGCTTTTTGTTTCACAGAAACACGCTCCCGAGTCCGAAGGGCCTTGCACTGGAGCCAGTGATGCTGTTAAGGTTCTCCCCTTTCCATGCTAACACCATTGCCTGCGCTTCTGACCCGTCACGTTCCCCCGCTTCCCTTTCAGTCAGCCATCATAACCATCACTGTTTTCCTCCATGACATGAACCTACCATCAGTTGATTTGGGTTTCCGTCATTTTTATTTATTCATATATTTTTGTTCTCCCTCATCCGCTTCTTTTTTGTGCAGAGTTCACATGAGACTCTGAATGTAGTGGAGGAGAAGAAACAGGCAGAGGTTGGGAAAGACGAAAGAGTAATCACAGAAGAAATGAACGGTAAAGAGCTATCACCCGGGAGTGGTCCTGGGGACAGCCGTAAGGTGGAGCCTCTGACACAGAAAGACTCCGCCTCCCTGTCTTCTGAGAGCAGCAGCAGCAGCGAGAGCGAGGAGGAAGAAACGGGCCTGTACCGGCCCCCCAACCTGTTGCCTGAGGAAGAGGAGGAGGAGGAGGAAGAAGAGGTGGAGGAAGAACCCAGCCAAGCATCCCAGGTAGTAGAGAGGGAGGCAGCAGTGCCAGAAGCCAGCCCAGGCAGACACGCAGGGGCCAGTGTAAGCACAGTAGAAACAGTGACCCAGGAGCATGTAGTTGCCCCTAAGATACCAACAGAGAAGAGTGTACACGAAGGCGCATTTAAGCAAGATGTGAGCGAAGACACAGAGGACGAGCAACATAAAGTTAACGGAGAGGTGTCTCATGTTGACATTGATGTTTTGCCACAAATTATTTGTTGTTCAGAGGTAAATGGGAGACTCAAGCGGGAGCTAAACTCTGGAGCTATTTCTCAGGTGGAGAACACCTGCTTTTCTTCTTCTCCTGTCCTCCCAACTGTCCCTCAGCTTTTTCAGCAAGATTCTGACTTTGATCTCATGGGAGGAAGGGGAAAGCACTGCTTTGTAGACTTTCTGCCACCTCGGTCAAGGTTGCTAGCTCCTTTCCTGCAACTGAATCACCTGATCCAGTAAACTCTCCTACCACCCACCACATCATTTTTCCATTCTTGTTTCACTTCTAAGTTTTTCTTTGCATGTTTTAGATATTTTCAACTTTTTGTCTTTGGTTGCACTGCTTCCTCATACTTAATGCCTTTTTTGTTGGTTTAATTAGAAAATTGTATATGCATTATTGGAAAATGGTCAGTGTGAGTGTGTGTGCTGCTGCTGTGACTGGCTTTGATTTTTTGACTCATTGTCTCTTCAGCTTGAGAGTTTTAGAAATGGCAGCAGGCCCTGATTACCATGGTGCTCTGAATTCAACATCTGGTAGTGATGAAAACAGTATTTCTTGAATACCACTGTGATTTCTGTTTTTAGATCTGGGGATTGTATGGTTTGGTTAAATTTTCTTTCCTTTTAGGCAGCCAGAGGCTACCTGTTTAATAGATTATAGTGCTCTTTTCATTCTGTCCTGTCATCAATTCTGGATTACTTGCAAGCTGATCATATGGTCTGTGAATTATCTACAGGGTACCTCAGTCTTTTCTTTTTTCTCTTCAAGATAGAGAACTTACTTCACTCTTCTTGGATAAAGTCTTGGTCTCTAGGTGCAGTGTCTCTGAATTGGAAGTTAAAGTTTTGTTGAGGGAAGGCAAACTTCCAGGAGAATATGTCTTCATTCTAAGTTGAGCTATCCACACTGCAGGGATTGTCCACATTTTCTCTCTTTATGAGCTGGAAAATCTTGAAGTGACTTTGTCTTGAAATAATTAAAAGTATTTTTATTATATCACTTTTAAACTCACTGATTCTCTTCAAAGAACATATTTGCTAGTCCTGGAGTGCTCTATTATTTTCTACACTTACTTTACATTACACTTGGTAGTATTTTGCTGGTAGTACCATAGTTTGTCTGACGTTGTATTAAACATACATGCTCAGCAGACCATGTTAACGGACTGTGAACCTCTCCTTTAATGTTTTTAATGTTTAATTGTTCAAAGCATTAATATCATATTTGTGGACTAATCCTAGATATAGTATAATAGTTTAACTTAGCTAATAGAGAAGAAACACTGCAAGTTTTAGACAAATATAATTGAAAACAATGAGACTTGAAGGTAATCTTTCTGAAAATGTAATCTCCTTGTCAATATAGCAGAAAAGGCTTTTTGAAGAAAAGTGCAAATCTTAGCCTACCTAGATGGTGTGCCAGTTAAAGACAACAAGCCTTCATACAAATCATGTGGCTATTTAAACCACAGTAAAAATTGAGGCAGGTCACTTCACGTAGTTCATTCTCTGTTTTCAAGTTTATCATTACTTACTCAAAGCTAAAGTTTATATATCACTGTATACCAAGCTTGATACGTAAGTAGTTTGGGGACCATCATAATCTAAAGCATATCATAATTGGAAGCATACCATAATTTATGAAGCCATTATGTTAATTTATTCTTATCATATATACATACATGTGTATATATGTATGTGATATTTGAAGAAAAGCGTTTTTTCTTTTGTATCTTTTGTCTTAGATTATTTACTTTTACTCTTTTCTTTTGTGAATGAGTGTGTGTTTGGATATACATATTTCTTACAATTATTTTTGAAGGCTCCATTAAGTGCTTTACTACATTTCCTCTAGAATTTATTTTCATCTTCCTTTCCACTTCAGCCACCTGTGGTGAAGACAGAGATGGTAACAATTTCTGATGCCTCACAAAGAACAGAAATCTCCACCAAGGAAGTCCCTATTGTTCAAACGGAAACCAAGACCATCACATATGAGTCTCCACAGGTACAAAAGCTCTAGATTTGGACTGAGCTCTTTTTCACTTTAGTCTGTTTCTCTCTCCATCTGTCTTCTCCTAGTTTACATGTTTCTAACTTTGATGTACCTTTTTATATCTCCATTTCATAATTGTACTTCAACAACATAACTTACTATGTTGCTTCTTCGATTGAGACAGAGAACTGTAATCAAATTGGTGACCCAGTAATTTCAGGGAGGAAGCATACACATGATTATTGAAAACAGGCAGTACCAATCTTGTTTATATTAGTAGTATTATAAGCCATTTGTGGCTTAAAAGTATCTAGGATTGTTTATGTATACTTGGGAAGCAGATCATCTTATAGAGTTTATGAGATATGATGTAATTTGGGCATTAGTAGGATTTAGGCATCCCTCTCCATGAAGACAGATTCAGTCAACTGTTGCTTGAAAGTATACATACATGTGCACAAACATTTGTGCTTTTCCTTCACGTGGGATTATTTTCTGAAGACATATGTCATTATTCTTACGTAAATGTGATAACTGTTCTACACAAATGTATGTTTGATTTTAAGTATTCAGACATTGATTCTGTAAATATTTGAGATAATAATTAAGATATCTAACTTTTAAGGGTAACAAAAAAAGGGAAAGTATTTATCATTTCAAACGGAACTGTTTTGAAATTTGGACAACTATTTTCTTTACTGAGAAATTTAGTGTTCATAGTAGGATTGTGCCCTGGTGAAAAATGGCAGATTATTACCCTCTTGAAATATTTTTAGATATATTTAATGAATGTATAGGTGAAGCATTCCTCAACATTATTTTAGTTACGCTGTCTTGAATCTTGAACGTGCATAGAGACCACATGCACACAAACAGATTTTGATGCATGGGTGTGGTGGGAGAGCAGGGACTCGCCTGTTTCTATAGTGGTGAGTGCCCTTCTGAAGAAATACATTGCATGAGCCAAATGTAAGAGAGATTTCCTCTTACCTTACAGTAAGAAGGGCTCTGGACCTTACAGTTATTTCCTTATGTCAGCAAACAGAAGGCCAATATACTATATGGTGACCTTAAACTAACATTTAGTTTATGATCTCAGTGTAAACTAAAACTATTAATTTGCTGTATTTAATCAGTAAACTCTAGAACTTTCTACCAGAAAAGTATCAAAGAAAACAAATTAAAACCTATTTAGTTATCTGCACAGGATTTATATATTATCTATCTATCTATCTATCTATAGATAAATACATATAGATATATATAGAGTACACATGCATGCATATTTATTCAAATATATCTTTATATATATATACTCACAACACATAAACTGTTAAAGGAAAATTGTTTAAAAATTTAAATATAGTCATAATAACCAAATGATGTTAGTTTAGTCTATTCAAATTAGGGTCTGTTGCTTAGTAATCTGAGAAAACGTTTTATCTATTTTTACCCACCTGTGCTTAAATAACAAACCAGCACTTCTGGTCACTGTGGCAACGTCTCTGCCTGGTTCTCTGGTTTCTTTTTCAACTTAAATAAATGGCTTTCAGTCAACTTCTCTCATGACCCCCATGGCTTTCAGACCCAACTCCTATTTCCACTCTTCCTTTTTTCTCTCTCTGTGTTTCTGGGGTTTGCTTCATCCTGTACAGTTAGTCTTTGATTTTACTCTGTTTAAATGTCAGCCAATGCTAGTCAGTAAATTACCACTATAAACATGAAAAGGCTGATAGCATCTTCTGCCAACTACAAAGATTTTAAAAGATGCATATTTGATGGGAAGGGCGTTTTCTATGACAACATAATGGAACTTAAAACATTGTTTTGTATTTTTCCCCCAATTATCCAAAGATTGATGGCGGGGCTGCTGGTGACTCGGGCACCTTACTGACTGCACAAACCATCACATCTGACTCTGTGTCAACAACCACTACCACACACATCACTAAGGTAAAGCAGTCCGGGGGAATCCCAGGGAGAGGACGGTACATTGTAATCAGGATCCTTTCTGAATTGTTTCTTGGTTCCTATACACACTTCAAAGTAATACATAGACAGTGCCAGTGGAATAAACATGCAAACATTTAAAGTATCGCAGAAAATTTGGCTCCGTTGACAAATGTATTTAAAACAAATTGCAATTCATAAAGTATAAGGGGGTAAAAATATGTTATGAATAGCCATATCTAAAAGGCGAAAGATTTATGCAATCTGAAGAGAAACCAGAGTATGAATAGCTATATCTAAGACAGCTACAAAAACAGAGAGAATTTAATAAAGGTGGAAGCACAGGTTTATTAGAAAGTACAAAGTGAATGTTGACTATCATTCAGCATTTTAACAAGTTCTTCAAATAATGTAAACGTCCCCTCATTGATTTACGATATTAGTGTCTTGACTTGGGGTATGTCTTCAGGTCATTCTCTAACTTGTTTAGCATCAGATGACCAGAGATTCTGAAGGTGTGGTCTCTGGACTAGCAGCAGCCTGACTTGTTACAGGAGTGAGCACTGTGGTCCCACTTGGGACCTACTGAAACACTGGGCCCTCTCTGTGATTTTCATGCTTGCCACAGTCCTCAGATTGCTAACTCGAGCCTTATTTTCCAGTAATCCCTTTTGTTTCTACTTCTCATATTTGGTTAGTGCCTGAAGGTCTTAAATGTACCCTTTGTGCATTCCATATCCCTTATTTCAACAAAAAAATTTTGTAAATTAAAAATGACACATAAATGAGAGATGGTATGGCTGAGCATTTTAAAGCACATGCAGTTATTAAGGCAAGTGATAGCCTTGTTTCATATGATGAAGTGCAGTCACTGGGACTTAGTGTATACATTTATCAGAGTTCCAAACATGGGTGTGTGCTTCCTCAGGACCACGTGGATTTGCTCTTTGTCTCTTTAGGATGTCGCAGGCATGTGCTCTCTTCGGCGTCAGGGCCCAGGCTCGGTTGTTAGCTGCTCTATACCGGTGACTGTGTGGCAGTTCAACTAGGAGCTCCAGCCCGCACTTCCCATCACATAGCCTTGTCAGCAGCCATCTGCCATGTCCACATGTGCAGCTACATGCAGAAGCTGTGATCACAGCATTGAGTGAACATACCAACCTCATACAGCCAAATCCAAGTCCTCTTTATTTCTGTTAATGCACTAAACCAAAGAAAGAAAGAAAATCACCAAACAGAGTTGTATGATGAGAATTAAGCAGACAAAACGATAACATCAAGCAATTTCCAAGCCTAAAGATACTGAAATAGTTAGAATTCCTTGTAACTTTCCATAAACCAAATAATTATTTCTTCTCCTTTAAACAATTGACCAGTTGGGAATTAAGAGACTCAGGAAGTTCTAACAGTGTCCCAGTGGAACCATGTGGATTAAATGGCAGCTGGTCCCTCTCAGTGTCATCTGCATCTTGATACATTAGGTTTTAAGGTTGCTTTCAGTTGAGGAACTTACGGATGCTATAACTTTAACCACAGGATTCTCCATTGAGCTTAAAAATAAGGAAAGTTTCCAGAATATCAGCCTTCCCTGTTTAATGTGCATTGCCTTACAATGGTCAGAAAGTCTAGGTGTGCCCCATCTGTTTTTCCTAACTGTGTGTACACAGCTTTAGTGATTACTGTTTTCCCCTTCTTTTCTTTATGACCTTTAGACGATAAAAGGTGGAATATCTGAAACAAGAATTGAGAAACGCATCGTGATCACAGGAGATACAGATATTGACCATGACCAGGTAAAGTCGTGAGGTTCTGGTTCTGAAATTGACTGTATTTATTTTCTAAGTTTTGTGCCTGTCATCGTGTCATATAAAGTATATCCTATCTCCCTTCCCCGTGCCTCCTGGCTGAATCCTAAGTGTGGTATAAAGACCTGGACATACCTGACCTTTCAGCCTTCCTGTCTCTGAATCAGCTTAAAACAGGAATTGCTTTTTATTTCCCACTGCCTTCCTGTGTACTTTGGGGTCAAAATAATTGTGGGGATTCCTGGCAGTTAAGTTTTCATGTGGGCTTGGTTTAAGGCAAGTCATCAGTGATTAAAAAATGAATGGCAGCTTAATGATACTGACTTCCAAAAACTAAGCTACTAAGTTTACCTTATGACTACTTTTAGGAACTTAAAACTTTTATAGCATTAGGAAAATTGGGTTGTTTACTACTAATTATTAATATTATTGGCCCTCAGGATGGCCTTCAGAAAGGCCGGTTAACCTTTGCCCCTTCACCGTTTTCAGCTGTAAATTAGGGATCTGTCCACTCTGGTCTTAAGCTGTATTGATTGAGTGTCACTATCGACGGGTTTTCATTGTTTTGTGCCTTAGAAGTTTATAGATATTTTTACTGCAACATTTTTCAGTTCAACAAACATTTTACACAAACAATTACTGAGAGCCCGAGGACAGAGGCTGGTGAGACCTGGTTCTACACCTTGGGGTTTCAGGCAGTTGGGCAATAGCAAGTGTCACTTGAGTGTGCAGGGTAAGCTCTGTGCTGTATGCTGTACACCATCTCTTCTACCCTTACAACAGACCTAACGTGCTCTCTGCAGCCTGAGCATTTTGGGTGATAGGGGAGAATGCTGAGGTCAGAGCAGGTCTGTTTTCCCAGGTCTCGCTGTGAGGCACTGCTGAGATTCAGAGCCAGCCTGCTGCTTCCACATATATTATTTGAAAGTAGCCTGGACAAATGTGGTCCTTACACAGAAGCATCTTGGAAATGAGAAGCAGCCTCTAAAAGAAACAATGTGCCCATTTCAAGTCTTCCTGTTCCTCAAAGAGCAGAGGCGGAATCCCAGGTGCTCAGTAGGCATGTGTTTGGCTGCCCTGAGAAAGGAGCCTTTTCCTCCACTGACCGTGCTCTCTCCTGACCCTGGCAGGCGCTGGCCCAGGCCATCAGGGAAGCCAGAGAGCAGCACCCCGACATGTCTGTCACGAGAGTGGTGGTGCACAAGGAAACTGAGCTGGATGAAGGGGAAGAGTAAATCAAGGTAAGAGAGCCTGTGCTCTCCGGGTCCTTTCCCGTGACTGTTCTGTGGTTCTGAACCTGCTGAGGGATGTGAAAGGGGCTTCTGTGTCAGTGTCTTTCTCCTGTAGTCCCGTTTGATTTTCCAGACTGGGGCATTCCAGATGAGTTATGGTGCCGTGAACTTGACACACTAGGAATCTCACAAGGTCAGGTGTAGCTGGATTGCAGACCACTTGCAGGAGAGTGAAGGGAGCAGGGAGGCAGAGGCTCGGTCTTATAAGTCCATCTGCTCAGGTTGCCTGAATAGAATTACAAACTTTCTACTATGGGGCATTTGGTGTTAATAACTGGCAGGTATTGAGGGCTGCAAATAGACACTCCCCATATGTCCACACACTCTCCTTTTGTTCCCTCACTCACATATTGTCTTGCAGCCTGCCTTCCTGTCGGCAGCCATCTTAGATCTCCTATTAAGAACTCATATGTGCATCAAAAAATGTAAACCCTTCAGTAGAAAAATGGGCAGAGGATTAGATTAAGCAAGTAAACTACATAGAAACTAAGTGAAGATAAACAAAAATGTTCAGCGTCACTATCTCTGAATACATAATAGTCTGGCCACTCATTGTATATCCTATATAACAAAAGGCTAATATGCAACTTGTCCCCTCAACCAGGAGTTAGACCAGCAGGCAGACTGGCCAACTGCCCATGTCCCCTCCCCCTAGCCAGAATGGCTGGATCCCATCCATGCATGAATTCATACACATACATACACACACTGAGTGGCCAGATTATTATGTGTTCAGAGATATCATAATCTGACCATTCAGTATAAATTCACAATAAGATGAGCAAATTAGATTGATTTGGAAAAATTCACTCATCCATTCAAAAAATATTTGAGTAACAAAATGTGCTAGGGTCGGGCTAGGCATTGAGGATTGAAATAGTCAAACTTGTAGATGAGACAGACAGAGTTGAACTATTATAAATTTAACCTATTGTAACTTGAGAAACAAAGTTTGAGTTGATATCTAAAGGAAGAATAGGAATTACCTCAGTGCTTAAAAATCATTTTAGCATCTCTACCCCCTCTGGCTGCAGCTTGTTCTTGAAAAATTCTTTTTGCTGGTCAAAATCAAGAGAAGAGTGTGTTTGCACTGCCAGGATTGCACAGAGGCAGCAGGTGGGTTGAGCAAAGAGCAAGACCCAGACAGTATCTGAACGCCAGAAGAGAGTAAATAACTGTGTCTCTGCCCCGGCTCCCCTTGTCAGATATGAAAAACTCTCCTCCTGACCTGACCTCTCCCTTTGGAGTAGTTCTGAGCTTTTGATCAAGCACTGCAAGGTGGGGGTGGAACAGACAGACAGATGGGCAAAGGACAGCCTGAGTGGACGAACCTCCACTGCTGCCATCTCAGCGGGGGGTTGGCCAGCTGTGAGGCTGAAAGGGGCTCAATTCAGACACAATTCAGGAGAAGAAAACACAGACTTCAGAGCAGTACTTCATTAAACTTTTGTAACCTTTTCTTTGTGTCCTCTTATGGACTAGCCCATCCTGTCAGTTTGTCATAAGTGCATATTTATGAGCCCTCAAATGGACACACTGTCACTGCCCTGTTCCCACTCGAACGGTACTCAAGCAGTCCTGGTTAGGAGGAAGGAGAGTGCAGGCTTGGTGGGGTGGGTGTGTGGCCTCGGAAAGAATGGGCCCAGGAGGGGAGCTTGTGACTCACTTCAGTTGGCACCATGAGCTCTCTGAACCCAGACTTCAATGAGCCTCTGACTTCTGGAGCAATCGTTGATGTGGGGTGAGGATGCCTCCTTTTCATCTGGAAGCAGTGAACAGCTGAAGACTCAGCCATCTACTCATTTTATTTATATATTTTCTCATTATATAAATATCAGTGGAGTGCCCACCAGATACCTTTTCCTGTTTTTCCATGGAGTTTTCAAATCAAACAAGGTCATACTCACAGACAGTAAATCAGTGGTAGCAGAATAGTTTCAAGTTTCTGATATGTTCTCAACTGAGGAGTGCGAATAGAAAGGCACTCAAACATTGATCTCAAACAATCATAATGCAGCCTCTCACTTAAGCTTCCAGATAAGTAGGAGTCAGCTCAGTGAAGAAAGGTATGGAAGGGGGCATTCCAGATGGGTTATGGTGCCATGAACTTGACACTCTAGGAATCTCACAAGGTCAGGTGTATTTGGATTGCAGACCACTCGCAGGAGAGTGAAGGGAGCAGGGAGGCAAAGGTTTGATCTTATAGAGCCTTACGAGCCAAGCCAGAGAGGCTAATCTTTAACCTGAAAAGCTGAGGGTATTCCTCATGTATCTGAGAGAGAGTAATTAGGTATTGGTTTGTGATTGGGTGACTGAATGAAGGTATGGAAGTTAATAAACTGAGTAGGTAGGTGAGCAGAAGAAAACTCGCGGATAATGCCCAGGTATATAGCTTGGGAAAAAGAGTTAATGGTGGTTCCTGTCATTGCATTTGTGGAATACGTGTTTCATAGCATGTGCAATATTGCCATTCCTCTGCTCTATCTTAAAGCAAAAGTATATCTTTTGTTCTGTGTACTTATGTAGGAGGAACCAACTGTCACAGGAATTATGGAGGAAGCTTGGAAATGAGTCTATAAGGCCCCATATCACACACACACAAGATGGGTGAATGGAAATTTACCAGATGGTGTAGCATAAAGTATAGCATAGCAGATTTGCAGGGTTAAAATCTACTTCATAGTTGTGTGACCTGGATAGGTTATTTTGCATCTCTACCTCAGTTCTGCCATCTGTAAACTGGGGGTGATAATGGAATTTACAGAAGAATATGTTTCCAAGGCAGGTTGTAAGAACTTTTTGTAACACATAAAGTCAGCCATGAATCCTTTTTTGGTCTTAAGAGTCAAATAAAAATGAAGATTTTCTATCCCAGAGATGTTGACTTTGAGAAGTGTCTACGTGGAGAGGTCCAGGAGGTAGCCAAGAGTTGAGAGAGCACAGCAGGCTTTGGATCAGGAGATGGAGATTTGGGGGTCATCCGAATGTGTCATCTCCTGAGGAAGCCTTTGGTTTGAGGTCACCAAGGCCAGGTCAGAGTGTTGTGACTTGGGGAGCCGAGGAAATAGAGGAGGAGGAGCCAGAGGTAGAAAGAAAATAGGGAGAAAGGATGTCATGAAAATTCCAAGAAGAGGAAACTTTAAGAAGGAGAGAGTAATCAAGTATTAAATATGACAAAGAAACGAAGTGAGTGTGTCCTTTAAATTGTTGTTACAACCTGGGGGCTTTTTCAGAGCACTTCAGTCAAGAAGTAGGGATGAAGCCCTTTAACGGGTTGAGGAAAAGGGATTTTACACGGAGACTGCTTTCAAGAATCTGAAAACAGTAATTGGGCCTTTGGCCTTTTGGTCCACTCTGCCTGTCTTCATCTGAGACAATGGAGAGCATTGTGTTAGGTTTCACAGAGCCACCAGAGCTAGTGATGTGATTGCTAAAAGCCTGGCAAATCCATCATTCCTTGGAACCTGTTAGATAAACCCTGAGCCCAGTCCCCAAACCATAATAAATACGTAACTAAATTAGTGGTTTTGCTTCCTGTGCTTATTGTGCAGCTATGAACACCAATTTCAGCATTGTGTTCTAACCAACATTTCAATGCTAGGGTGATATCCATGTTTTCAAAATGAACTCACAAGCCAAGTAGGCAATTAGCATTAGCTATCTAACTCACCGGACAGGAGAAAACCATGTTGGCTGAACTGAGCTCTAGCTAATCATGAGCTACTAACCCTGTCCCTGACCTGTTCCTGAAAAGAAACACAAGCCTGTGGGCTTCCAGGTGACTAGTTTCAATCCAGAAGCCAGGAGGTTTGCAGGCATATCAAACGTGTTGCATTTTTATTGTATTCTGTTTGCCTTGTTGTAGAGTCTCATTCCTAAAATTAGCATTATATTACAACTTAGCTTTAAATAAAGATTAATCAAACCTAAATGAAGATCTCTTATAAATAGAAATAAGAAACCATTTTGGATGTAGTGAGTTTTAGGCATAGCCAGTTTTTACTCTGGATGCTGTGGAAAAGGGATTTTACACGGAGACTGCTTTCAAGAATTTATAAATCTGGCAGGTGCTATCAATGAGTTATTTGCAATGTATTTGAACTACAATGTATTTGCAATGTATTTGGTTCAATGTATTTGAACCAAGGAGGTGCTTATGATGCTGCCTCGTGCAGGCATTGGCACCTGGTAGCCACTAATTCCCCAATTCCCCAGGGTTTGCTCTTAGACAACTGTTGTTTTTGTAAATGAACCTATTTTTACGGTATTTTGATGTTATTGTTATTTTCCCCTCATAGTAAAACAGAGGAGGTTATAGTTTTTAAAAAGGAAAAGGCAGTTGAAAGTATAAGTGATCCATAATTCCTTTGCTCCTAGAGAGAGCTAATTCCTTTTCACAGTGCATATGTGTGAACACATACTCACACTCACACCTCAATTTATGTAGGCTGGGACTGTCTGTCGAACTCTATATTTACCTTGCTTCACTTCTCCCCCCCCCCCCCCCCCACACACACACACTTAACAGTACATTGTAGATAAATTTCTTTGTCATTACCTCATCCTTTTTCAACAGCTGTTGAATGGATGCTTGATGGTTTACTTAACCTTTACTAATAGTTATTTATATTATTCCTCAGTTTTCACAATTATAGATACACCTATAAAGATCATATCTGTGCTTACATTTTTGTACATTAAATTCATTGTTTCTCCAGGGCAAGTAGTTTCTAAAATTAGAGTAGGTGTGTCACCGAGGGTTTTTGACATGTTGCTAAATATCTCCCTTAAAGATTCTACAGCTAGACTCCCACTAGCAGTTTGAGTGTCCCTGTTCCCCGTGCTCTTGTCAACCCTCAAGATTATACAGTTTAAAAATCTTTGCCAATCTGGTGAGGAGAAATTATTGCCCTCTTCTTTTTAAATTGTGGGGAAAGAACATT